AGTCTATATATATATATTGTGTATATATACACATAGTTTATATATAAGCTATAACATAGTTTATAATAAGATTATAAACTATGTTATAGTTGAATAAATATTATTATTATTATTAATATAGTCTATATGCACAATAAATTAGACTATTGTCATAATAATAGCGACATCAGTTACAAATAGGTGCCGTGGTTCTTAATTGGTCAAACGAGTGGCTATTATTAAGAGCTATTTGAAACCTGAGAATTTAGGTTTATTTATGCTTCTGTCTGTCGTATATTGACCAATAAAGCAAAAAAGTAACTGAAAGAGTATTATTTTAAATGTGTCTTAAAGTTGCTTGAAAAAACCAAATAAAGTTACTGACAGTGTAAAATATTTACTTAAACTTTGACAAAAAATAAGATTTCTTAAAAATCAAGAACGAATGAAACAATTTTAAATGTTAAAACAAAACATAGATATATTAAAGAAACATAAAACTATATTCATCAATCAGATAAATATTCAGCCAAATAAGTAAATGCAAGAAAATCGGATTCAAATTTGGCTCTTAATAAGACCCAGCCATTATTAGGGCACTTTGCCCTATTATGTTTAAAGAAAAATGAAAATACTATTCAATCACTTATCAATCTTATAAATACAAAAATATTTAAAAGTAACAAAGTAAAGAGTGTGAATGTAAAATGTATTAAGATAAACATGAATGTAAAATGGATTGAGATAATAATTGAAGAAAGTTCATAACATTCAACCAAGTTTAAATGTGGTAATAAATCGGTGAAAAAGTTTTCACTTTTTAATTTTATTGTTATTTCTTACCTTTTTTTATTCTGTAAGCCAATGTACTTTTAGAGAACCCATATACGCCTGCAGCTTCATTTAATTGCTTTAATAAATACATTTTGCAATTTTTTAAAATTTGTTTGCTTATTTATCTTTCACATTTTTTTTTTATAATTGCCATAGTTACCAATTTTAAACTTTGTTTAACTTTTTAATTTTTAATAATTTTTGCCGACAAGATTGTTAAGAATACCACAGTTCAAATGTGCCCCATGAATATTTTCTAATGCTGCCTCAACCCTGATTTTAGAATATATTCCAACTGATTTTAGAATTCATAAATTTTTTGTGAAAATTTCATGTCTTGTAATTAAACTTTGTATTTATATCATAACATATCTCTTTTACTAAAAACTTTCGTATTTACATCGTAGAACATACCTCTTTTACTAAAAACTTTTGTATTTATATCGTAGAACATATCCCTTTTACTAAAAAGGTAAAATATAAATTGTTTAAAGAAGCAATTTCTTCAAATAATCCTTACAAATAAAAATTAAAAAAATTTGGCAAAGTATCAAAAAATCATTTTTAAATAAGTTTAATCTAATTGCCTTCCTAAATAAATCTTGTGACGGCTCCGTGCGAAAGTATTTACAATTGACTAATATATTTAACTTGTTTGATAAGTTGGTATTTTTAAACTGTCCTAAACTGCCTCCTTCTCCCCTACCACCATTACCTCCTTCTCCCCTACCAGAAAATCTTTGATTTTTAAAGAGCAATAGGTTTATAATTTTTAAGTTTGAACGATTGATTACATGTTGTACGATTTAAGATCAGATATTAGAAGTTTGTTGGTTTAAGATTAAAGGTCTTTGCTAATGATAGTAAGAAGGCTGATTGAACAATAGTTAAAGAGGTTAGGACGACCTCCAGAGTTTTTTAACTTTGAACCACAATGCCAACCACAATCTTCCATGTCTGTTCGAATCCAGGAGATTATAAAGGTGGATCTATTTTTGGCATGAGACGAAAGATATCAACCAAAGAAATAAAAAATTATGAAGAAATTCCAGTCTGATTTAAGGTAATAGTAAGAAGTGCGATGATGTCTGAAGTGGTCTGAAAAAGAAGTTAAAAGTCAATGAGATCATAGCTTGTTTAAACTATTTAAATGAGAACAAGGAGAAACTGAGCACAAGCTAGGGTCAGAGATAAGATACAAACCAAAAAAGGTAAGTAATTGAGCTTTTCTGAAAATAGTTTGTGAAAATACTTAAACTAAAGTGTACATAATAAAGTTTGTCAGTATCATAAACCAAAGTGAACAAACTTTTTAAAATTGATATCATTGCAAAGAAAATTAAAAAGTAGATAACTAAAATTATTACCGTTCAAATAATTAAATTACTTAACATATACTTGATTGGGGTATGAGATAGCTGAGATAGGTTAAGAGGAGTTAGGGTGAAATTTTTTTAACTTGGCTTAAATCATATGGTTAGTTAAACTAAATGACTTGATGTTTTTTTATAACTTTGACTTTCAAATTGCCTCTTAGGTTCTTAATAATAAATATCATTTGCTCAAGTGTTGTTCTGCCTATTAAAACACAATTCTGCATGATTTGTCGTTTAGCAAAGTTTCATCCGTTTAACTATCTATCTGTTCGTTCATGCTCAAAAAATTTTTATTCATCTATTTTTTTTCCCAAACATTAATGCTTTCCCAGTTAATTCAAGACGTGTTTTGTTGTTGTTGGTTTTTTGACATTTTTTGTTTACTTAACTTTTTGGACGAAGTTGTTTTAATAAATTCTCCTAATTATTTGAAAATGTTTGTCATCTTGAATTCGCTATTTAAAATTTTTTATTTTTAATGCCAGATTTAGGTTCGGTGAGCCAAAAACTTTCAGAATTTTTTTTGGAGTTTCACTGATTTATTTAGACTGATTTTTAAAGGTTCATCCTTTTAAAAATCAGTCAACATTTCAACATTTCAATCATTGTGAGTGACATCTAACCGTGAATGACATTAATGTCAATAACTGCTACTCTTAAAAACTTGTTTTCAATGATAAAAATAATCAAATGTGTACTGGAGATTAAGGAGGTTACGAAAATCAACATTTATTTTTCTGTATCATTGTCTTAGTTGCTTAGTCATTGTTGTAGTTAAAGGGTATTTCTTAAATTTTAGACCCTCTTAAATTTAAGAAATACCTTTTAACTCATAATTTTTATATTTATGTTAAAATTATTAATTTAAAATTAAAACTATTATTAAATATATTTATACTAATTATTAATTTAAAAATAAAATTAAATTTAAAAAACGAAACAAGTTGTTTAAACAAATTGAATGTATAGACCTTATCTACTTGTATTAGTTACCTTAATTACTTGCGTTATTACACTTTATCTACTTGTATTATCTACTTATCTACTTGCATTAGTTACCTTAATTACTTGCGTTATTACACCTTATCTACTTGTATTATCTACTTATCTACTTGTATTAGTTACTTAATTACTTGCGTTATTACACCTTATCTACTTGTATTAGTTACCTTAATTACTTGCGTTATTACACCTTATCTACTTGTATTAGTTACCTCATCTACTTGTATTAGTTACCTTAATTACTTGCGTTATTACACCTTATCTACTTGTATTATCTACTTATCTACTTGTATTAGTTACCTAAATTACTTGTATTATTATACCTTATCTACTTGTGTTATTATACCTTATCTACTTGTATTAGTTACCTTATCTACTTGTATTATTATACCTTATCTACTTGTATTATTATATCTTATCTACTTGTATTATCTACTTAATATGATTATGGTTATACGGGTAACTCCGGAAACTTGATGTACAGCTTAAAATAAACAAGCTATGAGATTTTAAATACTGTAAAAACATTATTTGAGTAAAAGTATGGCATATGCAAAATATCTATCATAATATGCTAAAGTGATTAGCTGGGAATGCAAGATAATGTTTCCCAACACCAGAAGAGCAATTCTTCAATTTTTATAGCAATTTCTATAGAAATTATTAGACATTCTATAGAAGTTCTATAGAAGTTCATAGGCAAAATGTTTCAAAAATTTATAGAAATTATATAAAACTTTTTTTCCTGGTTTAAAACTAGTATTTGTGAATGAGGTATGATCGGGTGGTATCGGACACATGTTTGGAGGTATGATCGGATGGTATCGGACACATGTTTGAAGGGTGGTTTAAGACAACTAATCCATTTACATGTTGAAAAATAAATAAATACACAAACCCATAAAAAATATCTTACACAAACCCATAATGGTAATTCATTTAATTACAATAAACAGACCAAAAATTTGAAAAAAGTGTTTTTAAAGTGTTTATTTTTATAAGTAAAAAGTTAATGTTCATATTTCTAAATGATGATATTTTCATTTCCATTTCTTACAAATCAAAAGCAATTTTTAAAAGCAATTCTTTTTTTTTTAAATGTGTTGAGAACATTCCGATGCTAATTCATTATATATTATATTTGTGTCACACGGGTAAAAAAGAAGTAAAATCATTGTTAAACTATGTGTCCGGGGATACCCTTCAATTTTGAAACATGCCTTTTTTTTAACATTTTGTTTTTTATGCTTTGTATATTATTAAGGTAAACAATTTTTTTTTTTTCTTATTTAATAGATAAAAGTTTATACTTTTAAAAAAGTCTTTTGACACTTTTTTTTCTGTTAATGCATATGTCCAAGCTATTTTTTTTTTTTTTTTTTAATGTCCGGGGGTACTCGAATTTCGCCTATAAATGTTTCAATGTAGAAGTTTTTAGATAGATGTTTCAGTGTAGAAGTTTCTAGACAAAAAGTTTCAGTGAAGAAGTTTCTATATAGATGTTTCAGTGTAGAAACGTCTAGATAGATGTTTCAGTGTAGAATTTTCTAGATAGATGTTTCAGTGTAAACTTTTTTAGATAGATGTTTCAGTGTGTGTTCTAGATAGATGTTTCAGTGTAGGTTCTAGATAGATTGTCATTGTAGAAGTTTAGATAACTCTGGTAATAAAAATGTTCCACTTTAACATCACTTTTAGCATAATTTACCATTTTTTAATATTAAAATTAAAATAAATTTAATCTTTATTTTTTGTTTTTAATACAAAATACATAACGCATATAATATGTAAAATGTATTTCTTATTTAGAGGTTATCTGAGCCTATGTGAATATTAACGGGAAATCAGTTGGCTAATCAAGGCGCAGAAAAAATGACTTTTAAGTCATTGTTTAAGTTCATTTTTATTTACATTTTTTTAACTATAAATGCTTAATGTTAAAAATGTAGCATTCATTGTAAATATTGTTTTTATTGTTATTTATCTAAACTTCGCGCGATACTTAAATACAGTTGGTTATCATTGTGCGATAACGTGATAATTTTGAATAACGAGTTAGGTGTAAGATCGTGTATTCTGCTTTCGGTTTGTATTTTTTTATTTACTAAGGAGTTCGACTTTGTGGAGTTGCACATACGTTTAAACTTTGCGTTCAAGCTATCATTTTTGAAGCAAGTTGTTGCGTTAATTTCGTAATATTTTTTTAATGAGACTAAACCGAGTTGTTCGTTGACTTGACTTGCATTACGTCTAAGTCTTGGCTTAGGTTTTTCGAACTCCATTGATTGACTTTGAGTAAGAGCTTTTTGAAGAATCGGAGTTACTCCAGTATCTGTTAAATAGGTCTGACCAAATGAATTAATTGTAAGTGCGCATGGCTTTTTACTTGTTTCACTGATGTAAGCAACGCAGAAGTTTTCATAAAACCTTTCTTCAAACACACAAGTTGAATCGATATCTTCCTAAACGATAATAATTTTAAATATGCATCTACGAAATGTATTATAATGAAAGTGTGCATTTTTATTAAATTCAGCTTTTGCATTAAATACTCTAAATACCTTTACTGTTTTATGCCAAAACAGCAATATTTTTATAAATATAAAAAAATAACTTCGCAAAATTCACAAATAACTTCTTTTTTACTTGCTGATTTTATCAAATAAATGTTCAAGTGAAATTGAAGTAAATATAAAAAACTAAAATAAAATTCCGGTATTATTGTTTAAAAATCAATTTAGTTTAATTATTTATGTGTGCGAAATAAAGTTGTATCAGCAAATTAATGATTGAAACTTTATCATTATTAAATTAAAAATAAACAAAAAATCATAATGAACCGTCAAGGGGTAAAAATAAAAACTATTTATCGTTTTGTATCGTAAGAGCAAATTGGTGATCTTATTGCTACCATTTTTAAAAAGCTTGTTAGTTACACTATTTAGTAACACCTTGATTTTAGGGGATTAACCTGTGGCTGTCTAGGTTGAAAAAGAACGGTCTATTGAAAGAGAATTTAAACATTTGCTTTAATTTTTTAGATAATCGCTAGATTGATAAATTTAACGGGGAAGAATTATGTTAAAGATTCAAACAGATAACAGAAAATGTTGTTTTGTGTAAAATCTTGTTTTTCTGCTAAGTTCTTGTGAAAAACTAAACATAAAAAGTTTAAAATCTAGTGTTTTTTTATTTAGTAGGGTCACTTATGATAAAAATGATTATAGTTATAAATAATCCATAGGGCGTCGCCTAACTCCAGCCGGTTTAAATTATAAATTTATTAGAACAATATGTAGCTGAACATGATGTGTGTTAATAATGTTTTAATTCGCGAATTTATATGTAATAAAGAAAAGTTGGAAAAAGAAAATTTTGTGGAAAACCAAAAAACCTCTACACATATTTATGTTAACTGAATCAAAATAACTCAAAATTTAGCTGTATCGTGTATGTTGTTTCAGTATTTGGTAAACTTGGTAGAGATTTCATTTTCACTCCACTTCACGAGACTTAAATAAAACACAAAACGTTAAAAAAATGTTATAAAGTATACCATTTTTAAAATTAGATAGGAACCCCGGATTTATTACGGGTGTTTCCTCAATAATAAAACTAAGGACCTATGTGGAAATAAAATTTTATTTTTATGTAAACTAGACAAAAAATAAAGTTATGTATGTAATAACATTTAAAGAATGTACTGTCAAAAATATTTTTATTTTCAATTGTAAAAATAAGCCTAAAAATTTTGCAAATAATTGAGTTTAAAAAGATGTTAAAATGTTAGAGTTCAGGTACTGAGTACCCTCAGTAAGTTTTAAATCATCGAATAAAAATGAATTATTTTTTAAGAACTTCGGGTATCGATGAAAAGCTAGGTTTTAAAACCAAGGTATTGGTATGATTTTTTATTAGTCAACGGTATTTGAGCAGCCGTAGCGAAGTGGTTAGAGCGATTGCTTCGGAATCAAAAAAGTTTAAAGGCTTCCTTGGCTATATACGCGTCTTCAGTAAGTAAAGTTCCTAGTTAAATGTTTTTCCCCAGTGCTCCGTTAAAAAATCGTTAGCTCTTATTGGAGCATCTTAAAAAATTTGATTAGTAAATTTATAAAGAGAATGTTTTCAGTTTGTATTTTAAATTATAAAAAGTATATAAATATTATTATGAAGAGCACGTGGTAAAAAACAGCATTTTCACATTTAAAAAGCTTTGAGAAAGAGTATATTGCAGGCTCGTAGGAACAAAAATTATGTTGGGGGGGGGGGGGAGCCGAAAAGTCTTAACTCGCCTCTGTGGGGTTTTAGTGTGTGTGGTAATACTGCTGGGTAGGTCAAATGGTAATACGTCAAAAATAATTTTTTTTAGGTGCCTTAAGAAGTCCTAACGGTCTTGTCACAGAGCACCACGGAAGTGCATTTAACCAGGAAGTTCACGCCTTCTTCCTAACCATGACGCAAAATATGTCCAAAGCTCGTTTCGAACACCTGCTTATAAAGCAAGCGCCACAGCTGCAAAAAAATTTTAAAAAAATTTGTCAAATGAACTTACGCCGAAAATACGTATAACAAGTTAGTTTTTTTTCTGTCTTTTTTTTTCTTTTATATTTTAATTTGTAATCGTTTGCTTTTTTTCTAAAAACTAACTTCAAAATTATTTACTCAAAAAATTATATGGGGGGGAGGGGGCAAATGCCCCGGCTGTTACCCCCCCCTTCCCTCATACATAATTTTTTCAATACAGGCCCGTACCACCTTTATTTATATGATCATTTATAAAGTCTTTATATAAAACTAAAAAAAATAAATAAGAAAAAAAGTTTTAATTTATTTAATGGAGTTGACTAAATCGAAGAAAAATGAACTAAAATAAAAATAAAATCGTCTTAATTGTTCGGTAAAAGATAAAATATTTAAACCAAAATAAGCACATAAAAAAAAGTATATCCCAGAACAACCCAAAACTCGTCCACAAATATAAACAACTGAAAATTAAAGATTTCGTTCTCTCAAAGCAATTGTTCTCTCAAAAGCAGGGTTTGTTGCTAATGTAATTCCATTGTTCAAAAATCTAGTACTAACCCAACAAACTACTTCTGTACCTTGTAAAATAATGAAAAAAATGGTTAAAGATAAGGTTATGCATCACTTAATATCTAACAATGTTAGAAAGTATTCTGCATTACAAATTTACTTGAAACGACGGATTTTTTAGCCTATACTGCATCACCAAGGTTACCTGTTGATCCTCTATTTATTGATTTCTTAAAAACATTTTACAAAGTTCGTCACAAAAGTTCGTCACAAAAGTTCGTCACAAAATTTCGTCACAAAAGTTCCTCACAAAAGCTTCTCACAAAATGTTACTAAAAAAGCTTGAGTCGCGTGGGTTTAAGATATCTTAAATTGGATTAGTGCCTTTTTTCCCGACAGGACAACGTGTCATCCGTGGTAATGTTGCATCCAATTGGAAAAAAGTTACAGTGGCGTTCGTCAGAGCTCAGTATTTGGTTCAAGCCTATTTATAATCTATATTAATGATTTACCAGAACACATTAGCAGTAAAAATAATTTCAAAATATATGCAGATGACACAAAGATCCTCAGTGTAACTAACACTTTAAAAAACAAAGTCTGCAACATTGATAATATTGTCAATTGATCTTAAAGATGACTCATACAGCGTAACATAAAAAATGTAAAGTTTTGTATATCAACCAGCCTAGATCTGTTCCTCACATCTATTTCATCGATGATAACGACTTCTACAGTGGAGTCAAAAGAATCCAGTTTGATACAACAACATTAGAAAAAGATCTTGATGTTCAACTCTCTGATGATCTAAAGTACAATAACCAAGCGTTCATTGCTGTTGCTGCTAAGGCTAATAAAACCTTAGGTATGTTAAAGTACACCTTTTTTAACAAAGATATAACAGTTTGGAAAAACTTCTTTACAACTTACGTACGTCCACATCTAAAATACGCTATGATAGCCTGGTTTAACATAAATACCTCATGAATTAAAGCACCATAATTACAAAACAAGATGTGCTAAAATTGGGTTAACTTCACAGTGACAAAAAAAAAACGTGATGATCTTATTTAAAAATTGAAAACAAAACTGCTTTAGTCAATTGGTATACTGATAAGCGTTTGCGATGAATTGGTATCATCGCAAACGCTTTTGTCGCGAATTTAATAGCAATTGGCTACTTTGATTCAACTTTTTTAATAACCAGGTTGCAGATACTTAGAATGCTGTACCAGATGATGTTGCCAATGCCTCTACTATCAGCAGTTTCAAAATAAACTAGACTAGCAACTATCATAGTTAGCACAGTGCATCATTTTCCGTAGCTGTATTACTGCAGCTATACGAGCTAGCTTGCTAGCTAATGATGAAATTACAGTTCATTCTGTTTCGTGTAACTTTAATTGTGTGTATATACGTATACAGCGCAATTGTAATATTATTTTTAAAGTTACTTCAGGTAAGATTATTGAAACTCTTCCTGGTATAGTTGATCGCTTAAATACTCAATTCAAATCTATGTTTACTCTTGAAAGCTTTGAGTATTTACCATTGTTAGATAAAAGTGGTATTTAACTTGAATGTATACATAATAATAACTTAGATCTCTCTATCTTAGATATTATTAAGAAACTTACCAATCTAAACTCTTGTAAATCTTTCGGATCTTGTTGTTTGCATTCCTTAATACTTAAGGTATGTGTCAAAGGTTTTGCAATTCCACATACAAAAATGATTAATCTTTTAATTCTGGAATAGTACCCACTCTCTGGAAAATAGCGAGAACTGAAAACTATCAACCTATTCCACCAACCTCTGTTGCGTGCAAAATCTTTGAAAAACTTTGATATACTTTAAGATTTTGTAAAGAACAAAATCTTAAAGTATATCAATGATGGTTGGTGATATGATCTCTACAAACCATGAGTTTTTTCATCATAAATCATGCGTAACTAAACAAATAAAGACTTGATATTACTTCATGTTCCATAGCAACCAGTTGTCACCAGTTGTCACCAGTTGTCACCAGTTGACACCAGTTGTCACCAGTTGTCACCAGTTTTAAGTATGTACTTCTCTGTTTGGGTTTATAACCCAAACAGAGAAGTACATACAATGTAAATACAAAAAAAAAACATATTCGGTATCTTCCGCAAGGCTCTTTTCTTGGCCCACTCCTCTTTTTCTTTACATAAACAGTCTTCCTCGACTTACTAAAACTTTCGAGATAATTACCTATGATACTAAACTTTTTCTAAAGCTTTATCGCAGACGAATCTCGTTGATCTGTAAGATTTTTTACGCTTGGTAAACAAGTGATCAAACACTTGGTTACTTAAGTCAAACCTTTTCAAATGCTGTGTTATTTATTACAGTCATACCAACCCTCATTACATTTACTATTTGAAAAATAACCAAAATATAAATCAATGTTTAAGAAGCTCTACTAAAGAGCGTAGTTCGAAAGCCATTTTTACAAACAATCTCATATAGAGCACATATATCCAAACAGTTGTTTCTAAATTCCTATAAATTCTTGGTATGCTAAAAATGACATTCACTTTCATTGATGAAAATATGGCTCTCAAGTTATATAAAGTGTTTATAAGAGACATCTTAGATACTGCGAAAAACTAATAATCCCTTGAGTTTCAGCGCCTACAATGCAATCTAATGCAAATCTTTAAACTAAAGCATAGGTTTGATATAGTTAATAATAAACAATTACCATTTGATGATAAACATTACCAATATTAATGATAAACATCTACCAAAATTCATTAACTCTTTGTCTCGTGGTCACCATTTCATGAATATGTTCTAAACTGCCATACGCTTAAAAAAACTTAGAACAAATCTTTACATTTTTATTATATATAAATATTTATAAAATTTGTTTATATTGCTGTATGAATACACTAAATGTATACTTTAAGGCAACACTATAATAATTTATTTATTTTCCAGTTTATAATGTTAGTCGTGATGCATAATTATACAAGTCGTGATACATAATGACATAAAAGATATTTTTACAAAATGTATACTGCTCTGCGTACTGGCAATATAAAGCTAGGTTTTCGGAAGAAAATCATAAGGATCTTATTATTAAAAAGTAAACATTTACCTATAGTATAAAAATATGCTGAAGATTTAACATAATGCAAAAATATAACCTACTTATATTTTAACATATGCTGAATATTTAACATATACGTTTTTAGTAGAATTTTAGATTGTTGTTCATAGAAAGAATGAATTTTTTAAATTTAGTTTTAAAAACAGAAAGAGTAAAATAAAGATCAAAATTTAATATTTTAGTCCAAAGATGAAGTGTACGATAGTATAATACTATTTTATTCCAAATATTGCTTGATATTCGTACCACTCCAGCTTCTGTATTTAAAGTGATTTCCTGCTTAGACTCATCTACAGGTTGTGGTCCGGACAACATATCTGTTATAGTCTTGCAGAAGTGTTTTCCGCAGCTGTCGTCTATACCTTTAAAACTATTTAACAAGTCCCGACGGGCATTTGTTTTTAAAAGTTACGATCTAAATGTATTTTAAATGTCTTTTAAACGTCTTTTAAACATTAATGTTTAAAAGACGTTTAAAAGACGTTTAAAACACATTTAGAACGTAACTTTTAAAAACAAATGCCCGTCGGGGTGCTTATCAGAGTCTTATTTTCTTGTCTGCTGGAAAATGACATCTGCTATCCTAATTTTCAAAAATTCTGGAGAGCAGTTTTACTCAACTAACTAACTTCCCCATTAATCTTCTTACTATCATAAGCAAGGTTTTTGAGTCTTTAATTAACAAGCATTTAATCTCTCAATTTGAATCTTATAACTTACTTTCTGATCATCAATATAGACTTTAATCTTCTTGTTCTACTGCAGGTTTGTAAATGGTAATAAACCGTTAGGTTTTATTGTTCATTACAGAGGTGGCCATTAAATTAGTATAAACTAAAATATTGATTCTTTTTGCTCTGTAGATAGATGTCGAGAAGTTTAAACTATCGCTCTCAATATTTTGAATGCTTTTGATAAGGTTTTGAATGCTGGTCATCTGCATAAGCTCTTTTTTTACGGTGTATCAGATAACATCTTTAAGATTATTGAATACTTCCTTATGAATCGTAGTATAAAAGTTTTCCAAAATGGACAGTACTCGTCTTCATTTCCTGTAACTTCATCAGTTCCTCAAGGTTTTATTCTTCGCATTATATTTTTTTAAATTTACTTTAACGATTTCCCAGAAATTCTTACATCTAAGGTGGCATTGTTCGCTGATGATACTACCTTTATTCTTGTCTTAATAAAAAGTCAACACTCTCTGATTGCTTAAAGGGGTATTTAAGCTTGAAAAGGATCTCCCTTCTGCTACAGCATGGGGTTCTCAGTGGCTGGTGAATTTTAACTCAATAAATAAATCTCAATTTTTTTCTGTTGCTATTCCAATAATTAATACTTGATTAGTCATATTTTCGAACAATAACAAAATCTACCCTTCATTTTTTTGGATTACCTTGTACTTCCGATACTTCTTGAAAACTATGCTTCAAATCCATTGCAAAATTTGCATCTGCTAAGGTTGCATTTCTTTACTGTGCTTACCTTTTTCTTACCCATATTCTATTCTTTATCTTTATAAATCTCTTGTAATTCAATTAAGTCTCACCTTTTTACTGTAACTGTACCTAAATGCTCCAAAAATTCTTTTTCGTATTATTTTTTTCCTCGAACATCAGTTTTTTGGATTTCGCTCCCTTCATCTTGTTTTCTGAAAGTCGTACGCTAATCGTTGTCTTTCTTTATAAACTTCATCTTTTCTCTTCTAGTAATTTCCAACTCTAATAGTGGTTGCTTGTAGCCTTGTTGAAAGTGAAGATGGTTTAAAAATAAAGTAAAACGTTAACATTAATTTGAATTTGTATTTTATTTAAACTTGTACCGTAATTTGCAGCGCATTTATATTTGCATTGTAATATGCAGCAGATTTATTTATTTATTTTTTTTAGCTAATTTAGGTGCTCCCAGAAGTCTTTACGGTCTTATCACAGAGCACCGCAGGAGAGCAATTAACCGGAAGTTCACGCCTCCTTTCGTGCCAATGTCGCTTGTTGGGCTAGAGTTGGCGTCGAACCTCGGACCTCTGGGTTCTGAACCAGAACTCTAACCACTGCGCCATGGCTGTTCAATTTATATTTGTACTGTAATATGTACATTTTTATTTAAACACACTATTTAAACAACAGTATAAATAGTGCGGAGCGCATCAGTAGTAAATGAAACCAGCTGACTTTTTTGCTTATTTATTATGTAAAGCAATACTTTAAAAAATTATTCTCCATAATTTCACGTAGTGAGGCTCTCTAAATTCTTATGTAACATTGGAACACCATATAAACTAATCAGGAGAAACAGTGTATGAGGTATATCCGCAGTGAGCATCATAGAACTATTTTTTTCATAACTGTCACTGGTGAGACTTAACTCAAATTGCTTCACGAGTTTGCCAATTTCAGAATTGTTTTGTAATGACAACTAGATTTAAGTTTAGCAAGAAGGAGCACCTACCCGCTACCATCGCAATGTAAGAGCTCACCTCGATGCAGCTTTGGACAAACGGGTACCATTGATTATCTCTAGAGTTCCCAAAATCTCACACCTCAGGACTTTTTTGGAAGTATCTCAAAAATAAAAGAATTTGAAAGACAATATATTGCCTCAGCACGTTGAGACATTTTGCGTACGGCGCAATCTCTAATAACAAATGATTTTATGTTACTTTAAGCTAAAACTTCCTTTTGTAAAATAAAAACTAAAGATCCTTACGAAAGAAAAAATGTAATCTTTTCCCGGCATTTTCTGAAAATTTATTTTAAAAAAATCCTGCAAAACTTATGATTGTTAAAAATCCTGTAAAAGAAGTACTGGCTTCTAAAAATAATAGGACTTATATGTTTTCCAGATCTAAATAAGTAACTCCATTATATTTGATCTAATTATTGGTATGAAACTTCAAGTCATTGTTACTACAAAACCTTACCTTTGACTCAACTTTGTTATCCACACCATTTGCAACAAACAAACCAGTCATTAAACTTCTTATTGCCAACTTGTTTACCCCAACAGTTACCAAATGAAACACACCTAGATATAGTAGATTTAGTTTTAAATACATATATTAAATGTTGATAAACTACTTTATCATTTTCTAGATTCTCAGTCTATCCTGCGTCTACGTATATTAATTTTGGCTATGTAAACATATTATAATGTTGCTGTAGGCTTTCAGTCTATGTAGCACTTGTGAGGCTTAAGCCTCCATAAATTTGTAAAACTTCTTCTAAACTAGGTAAACAAATGAGATTGTTGCACACAGTTTACTCTGTTGTTTTTTTTAATCAAATTTAGGAGCCAAATTAATTAACAATTGAATCTGTCATTTTGAAAAAAAAAAAAGTCCCTTAATTAAAAGTTTTCAAAATCCACAAAAAAATGTTTTTTTATAAAAAAAAATGTCTATGGCGCTTAAGAAACTAAATATAGCAGTAAATAAATAAAAAATATATATAGTTTTTTGTAATTTTCATTTATTATCAAAAAAACATAAATTATACAAAAGTTTTCAATAATAATTTTTAAAATAAGTGTTATATATTCTAGACTTGTTTCCTTTTCAAAATGACGGGTTCAAGTATTGGTAAGAAAAAACCTTGTTTAAACTGCCAAAAATAATTGGCGTAAAATAACTGGCGTAAAATAATTGGTAATTATTGATATTGAAAGTTATTGAACGTAAAAAAAAAACAATACTTAATGGTGATACACTATCTGCTTTAACATTTGATAAAAGTATTTGAAAAAAAAAATGTTTTTATGAATGTTCAAATATTGCAAACATCGCACAAAAGCTGATTACATACAATGTTTTTTACTAAACTAAAGTAAGTTATTTCTAATAAAATTAAGTACTAAAAGTATCAAGAAAGTGGTATCTGCGGCTGTTTTAATTTCTTGACACAATTTTTAAAAAGCAAAACAAAATTTGACGTTTCAAAAAGTGTTGCTTGAAATTAGACGCAAAGTATTTGGCGCTTTCAAATAAACATTTTTCACATAAAATAAAGTTTTATTTAAACAGCTTTTACATTTGAAATTGCAGCTAAATTAAAAACAATTTTTTGTAGTTGAATTAAAGCCTATTTTAAAGTTGGTATGAATCATGAAGTAACTTTTAAAGTCTTTTTATTGTCAATGGGGTAATAAACTAGTTAAACCAGTTTTTAAAAGACATTTATTTTTGAAAAATCAATATGTAAGTGGTGACACCTGAATCCGATAATTTGACTTCATACAAAATCAATATAAATAGCGATACTAGAAGCTGATAATTTGTTTTCATATTAACAGTGTTACCGGAAGCCGATAATTTGGCTTCTCACAAAATAGTTAAAAAAAATAGTAAGTAGCGTTAACATTTTTATGAAAAAGTTTAAACAAGAGTGATTTAAAATGGCCCACAAGTAACGTTAAAAGTTATTTTAAAGCTTTGCAAAAATTGTATCTAAATGTTTTAGAGCGCTTAAAACCCCCTCCCCATTCAAATCGGTTCTGATAACATGTTATAACAACAAATACCAATTTGTTATAATGTCTATTATTACTAATTACTATTGTTAAATCGACTGATAGCTATAAAACCAGTGCAAAGTTTAAATCCACATTCTTGGTTATCAAACTTAATAACATAAAGACTTAATTGAATCCTATTGCCTAGCTCAATCCATAATTAAAGTAGAATGTCTGCCTCGTCAGATATTCCGACTTTCAATTCAATTTTTAATCAAGGGCAGCATCGACTATTCCAATAACTATCGTTTTAGATTTATTACATGCGTACATTTGAGTTAAAAATGAGTTATAAATGTATGTATTGCTCTTTCATCTGCAATAATACTAGCTGCTGTAAAAATACAAGGGTAAATAATTATTTGTCTCCTTAAATTTTACATAAAACAAAAGAATGTAAGCAATTAATTTGCCAAAAATTGGTTTACGCATTTGCCAAACAATTAATAAAGCGAATTTGCTTGATATCTATAAATTAATTTTCTTTCGAGACTTATTGCTTCTGTTTAAACTTAAAATTGAAATAAATTTTAATCGTTATTTATCCTTATTTAATCAATAATATCAAACAAGACACTCAATTCACAATTTGTTTAAGGAACTTAATTCTTGAAAAAATATTTAAAAAAATAACCTCATTTAAAAATAACAGTTTAACAACATTCAAATTTAACTACATAAACATTCTTTTTTTAAATCTTTATGCTTGAATTATTTTTTTAAAAAACTCATGAAACTAATTAAAATATATTATTTAAAATATCAAATTAAAAGAAAAATTAATTAAATAAATATTAGAATATAGTTTCTACTTTTATTAAAACAATTTGTTGTTACTTGTATGCTTTATTCATTTTTAACATTTCCTTCGCTTCGTAACTCAACATTGTGATTTTATATATTATTAAAGAGTAGAATATAAAAGTTTTATAATATAAAATTTATTATATAAAATAATATAAAACTAAAGTACAAAAACTTTTCGAAAGCCAAAAATTAAATTTTATAAATTAAATTTGAGGTTTTCTCAAAAGTAAATAATAACGTTTTTTTTCAAAAAACTATAGATAACCTCTTTCTTCAGATAAACTTTTTTTTAAACGTTGCAATAAAAGTTCATGAATAAAACAATTTGTTTTTTGACGGCAGTTACACTTAAGTCTGGTTTCCAATTGCTGTAGAAATGTCTTCTAACGGTTGTGCGATCTTGGTGTAATTTACGCAAAAAAATGTCTCTGTATTAAAACCAAATTGTTGCACAACAATTGCATGACATTTCTACAACTATTGAAAAGCAACCTTTTCAAGAGTTACTTAAAGTAATTAATGGTAATATTGGATTTTTACTATCATTTACATTTTTTTCTGCAATATTTAAGTTGATGTTGATCCAATCAAATTATGCCTATACTATATTTATTGTTTTACAGTTGCTTATAGTAAAGTTTAAACAAAAGAAATTAACGGAACTTAAATATGGTTTTATAAAATTTTTTTGTACCGTATTTTGTTGAATCTTGGACTGTTCCTCTAACTTCACCGTCGCAGAGAACCTCTAAAAACAAACCATTTAGACACTGTATTCTACGTATTCGAAAATATTTTGCGTGTTGCTTACGAAGTTCTATGAATTCTTCGCCATTAAATTCTCTAGAAATCATAATAATACCATGATATGCTTCCATAGTAAAATTAAGTATATATTTTTTTAATTTATTTATAAAATAAAAACAAAATTTAACAACATTTAATACATTTGTATAATATCTTACGGCATGATTTTAGCACATAGTTTCTGTAAATTGAAAAAAATTAAATAAAGAGACCGTGAAATCAATATAACTTTGTTGTTGACATATACTGTTTAAATCATAAGGACGAACCGTATAAAAGGATAAATAACTCTCTTTGTCTGCTGATCCCTTAAACAACCCTGGTAAAAACTATTTTTAAGTTTCTTTGTGTTTTCTGCGTAGCTTTGTGTAAATTTGCACAAATACATAGACGTCTAAATAGAAAGTGCATTTAAGAAACGAGTGCTTGTCATGATGTAAAAATCTTGTGAAAGTAATTATTGCATATTAGTTTTTTCCTATGCTTTTCAAAATCAATTTCATTATTATGCGTTGTTATTTACAAGCTTTATAATTAAAAATAATTTGTAAGATGTTCATTTATCCGTTACTACTTAAGTATTAAAAACTTTTATATTGATTAAAGAATTTTTTCACTTCAGTGTTAACTTAATACATTTTTTTATTTTTACAAAAGTAGAAATAAGAAATAATGTAGAGCTAAAATAAAAGAGACATTCTTTAAACAATAAATTGGTGATTTTAAATATTCAATTTAATTCTTTTGAGGTTTTATGATCATCGATCGCGATGAATATCTCAAACAAATCTCATATCTCAAACAAATCACATATGAAAAGTGTATACAATAAATCTATAATAACACCATGACTCTAATTAACTCTAATTAAATAAAATTTACCATTCATTTCTACGCCTGGATAAAGATACCTTTTTAAATTTTATCGTTATTCATTTCCCAAAGGCCAAAAGGGCCACTAAAGCCGAGAAGACTACTTTATAAGCTGTTCAATCTTCACCACTATGTTCAATCCTCACCACGTCCCTTGTACTACTGCGCTTAACTTGTTTCTCAAGCAGAGGTTTGTAACCTTGTGGTTACAACCCTCTGTTTGAGAAACAAGTTAAGTGCAGTAGTACAAGGGACGTGGCGAGGATTGAACATGGAACTTCTCGCTTATGAAGCAAGCACTCTACCACTACCGTATAAGATATTATTTATAGACCCCAAACTAAAACTCTGATATTTACAAGTTTTAGCAAAATTTTTTTTTTTGGATAAAGACTCTCAAAAATATTTATCACAAAATCCGCTCAAACAGACTAAGAAAAATAAAAAACTATATTTTTAACTCGCGTAACGTAGGAAACCGCAGTGCTGAATTAATTAAAAAACTAAAATTTTCATTGCGTTCTCCTACGGAAAAACCGTAGTAGCCTTATCGCAGAAGTATTCTTGCAATGGAACCACAATTTACTTTTTTTATAATTTAAAATTTGCTTAAATTTAAAACGCGACAAGATCATGTATTTTATATCAATAGTCAATATGATATCCATATATAGTTTTTAACGTATTTAATTAAATATTCTACCACGTCAGTTTTTAACGCATGTGAACGGTGTGTGTGTTTGAGTGCGGAAACTGATCATCAGATTATATGGATGGTGTGCAAGCCATCCATATAATCTGATATAGAGTAAGTTATTGAGGAGACAATGCACAAATAGCTTTATGCAAAATAAATAAATCATGTCGACAAAGATCAAATTGAGCAGTTAACTTTAATTATTAAAGAACCATAGTAGTCTTCATCGGTGCAAAGTAGTGATAAGAAGTGATAAGAAGTGTTGCTGACTATGACAGATGATCTGCTTTGTCATGCAGGCTGTACCAACCTTTATTGCTATTTTTAGACTGATATAATTACATCTTTGCTCCGCCATTAGATTGTGACATTAAAAACAGAGCAAGATTCAATCATAAAAAACTAAATCAAGCTTTATTTCATAGTCTACTTGGCTTGCACACCATCCATATATCAATCATAAACTAGATTAGAGTTTTGCATTCCTCCTCCCCCCATTTATTCCCACTATGACTACACCTCCTCTACTTATTCACGCAATGACCACACCTGCGTCCCCGACAAGAATAGTGTATGTTGCTCACATGTAGGCTGCATACATTTTTCTTGTCGGGGAGGCAGGGTGCATCCTGCTTGAAAATGAAGACTGATTATGCTGATCTTATATTTTGAGATAAAAAAAGCAACATTTTTATAACATTTTTAAAAGTTTTTTTTATAAATGTTTTAACATTTTGGTTAAAAAAAACTATCCATTTAGCTGATAAAATCTTTGAAGCCAAATTTATTATGTTATTGCAAATAATGAGAAAGTGCTATTGCTAATTTGAAAATGCTGGAAGTTTTGAATTAAAAAACAGAACTGATTAAAAACAGAATTGATTATAAAACGGAAAAACAAAACTGTTGAAACTTGAGAAATAAAGGAAAGCTTAGAAATGAATTTTTTTATATCAAGGTAAGATTCAAAAAAGTAATGTAAACTATTGTATGTACAATATATATATATATATATTATATATATATATATATATATATATATATATATATATATATATATATATATATATATATATATATATATATATATATAATGTGAACTATTGTATGTACAATGTATATATGTATATACAATATATTTCTATGTATTGTATATACAGTGCCGGTTTAACCAAAGTTCATACTGGACACGTGCCGGGAGGCCACGGAGTTCAAGCGGCCGGAGCATCTAAGTGAGTTTTCGAAAGATATATAATTTGGAAGAAAAATTATTATCGGCCTCTATCCTTGACTGCCTCTCATGCCCCAAAGATTTTTAATTTTTGTAGTAACAGCAAACTGGACGTTTTATTTTTGACGACTTGAAAGAACTTTCAAGTTTGAATATAATGGTGAAAAAAGAAACTTAAAATACTTCGATATTTTATTTATTGTTCATTCTCTGAGGATTATCGTTCCGCGGATCAGACAAAAAACTAAGATCAATTCGTAAAGGAAACCTTATTGGATGTATTGAGCTATAAGCAAAATTTTATCTTTTCCTTGCTCAACATCTAATAACTCATGGAAAAAAAAGGAAAGAGTTGTACCTTGTACTTATCTAAAAACATTTACGAAGAACTCATATACTTAATAGCCGCCGAGGTTATGGAATTTATAGGTGATTTGACCATCCTTAAGTAACATTTTATAGTATAATTTTTTTATTTACTTCAAACATAATTTCTTTGTTAGAAAATTCAAATTTACGAAATATTTCTCAATCATTGTTGATTCTACTCCCGATGTGTACAAAAAGGAAAACCAGTTAAGCGGTTCTTAACATTCATTCCCACGCATTATCATTTTGTAGTTCCATGCTTGAAATCTTTTTGAAAAAGTTAGATTGGTATGAGATCAACATTCAAAATTCCCGTGCTCAGTCATACGACAATGCCAGTAATATGAATAGAATCTACTTTGGTTTATAAGCAAGAATTAAAGAAAATTGATGTCTATTTTTCTATTGTTCAAATAGAAAACCGGTTTATTGGATTCCATCGACCTAAAAGATATCATATTTGTATTTGCAAGCTTGGGGTGCAGACGAAAGGTGTTTTAAAACCTATACTAATCGCAGCGTTTTTATAATAATAAAAAAACGCGAGATGCTTAAATACAAAATAAAATAAACTATAAAGCCATTGCGCGACAATTATAAAGATTTTTTATTTAAATCTGCTGTCAAATTAGAATACCAGGAGGCCAACAGGGGCCAGAAGGCACAAAGCGTCGGGAGGCCAAGAAGTTCTTAACCCGGCGCTGTGTATATATGTATATACAATATATTGTATAGATACAATTTCTATCTATATACTGCTGAACACAGATCTCAAAATATATTTTGAGGTCGGTAATGCGGAATCATTGCGGAATTAAGGTTAGGTAACTAACTGGCTAAATGACATACACGGAAATGTTTTAAAAATGGCGATTAAAAATGGAAAAACAAGTTATAAACATAAAATATATAAAGAGTTTAATTGTACGTTTAAATAAACAATTCTTTTCATGAACTGAACTTTATTTTTTATATAATTTTCAAATTGTTTTAATATTGATCTTCTTTATAATGTTATAATACCAATACATAATCATATTATGACTGATTTATATATAAGTATAAATAATATTTATACTTATATTTAAAATATATCCAAACTCATTTTATTATATCCTCAGTTACACATCATAAAGTAAAAAATTATTTTTCTACAACGAATTTAAAAAGGTTACAATTACTAATAGCATTACTACAAATATAGTGTTATATTTAAATATTTTTATTTATTCTGGCATTAAAAAAGCACTATAATTAATAAGCCATTTCCAGAGCATATCTTGACATGTTTAAAAATGGTAAAGTTATAGCAATCTAAAAAAAAAGACTATTAGAAAAAAAGAAAATTAGACTTATATATAGGAAATTAGACAGCTTTATAAAGCCAATACAATTTTCAATATAAGTTACAGTTTCAATTTTTAAAATGCATTGTACTGATTGAGCAAAATGTTATAATCTATTATTGTATCATTGGATATGAGAATTAAAAAAATAAAACGGTTTTGATCAAATTTATTAAAACTATTAATGGCTAGTATTATAAATCATGTAAACAGATTTTTGTACTTTAGAACATTTTTAAAAAGAAAGTTTTGTATAATAAATATTACATGATATTTGTAGATTAATAATATAAAAACTTTAAAAAAATTACTTTAGAGAAATATTTTTGAAAAAATATATTAATGTAATGGACACAGATCTGGAGAACTTATCAAAAGTTATTGAAAATGCTGATGATATCAAGAAGCAGAGTTGGCTGAAAAGTGATACTGAAAAATATCAAACTGTAGTTATATACTTATAATTGTTATTATAAAAAGTTGTTACTAATTAAAAAAGTGAAAAAATTTATTCTAAGTTATGAAATAATCATAACACATTTTTTTTACCTCATGTTTTTCTAAATGCTGCACTTTTTTTAGTTTTTAATTAATTCACACTTTTGTTTATAAATGACAAAAATTAATAACTAATATTATATATATTATAGTTTATAAGTTATATTTTTTGTAAGCAATTTAAAAAAAACAAACTACAATTTTTTTTTAAATTGCTAACAAAAAATATTTATTTAAACAAATTTATTATTTGTTTAAATAAATATTTATTATACTCATTCAAACTTAATTGTTCCACCATATATAAAGACTCCATGGAAAATAAAAAGTTCAAATATCTTCATTTTAAAGAACATAAAAGAACTTTTATGTTCTTTAAAATGAAGATATTTGAATATAGTATCCCAGTTCTTACCTCTTGCAGTAGAACTTTTTCTACTGCAAGAGGTAAGAACTGGGACACTATATATCATGTGGCTAATAGCGTAAGATCTGTAGACTTGGAGAAGGTTGGGCTGAGTATGTCCCTGTATATATATATATATATATATATATATATATATATATATATATATATATATATATATATATATATATATATATATATATATACATATACAGGGGCTATTCTAAGAAAAAAAAACTTGGGTGGAGTCCCCCCCTCCCTGTTCCAGAGAAATTTAGTGGAAAATCACAGTTTTTTTAAGGAAAAAATAATATTTGCCATCAAAAATGTCAAAAAGAAAATGTCCTAAAATTTTAATTTAGGTGGCATCCAAATACAGTTGACACTGTTGAAAATAGTCTAGAATAGCCCCTGATATATATATATATATATATATATATATATATATATATATATATATATATATATATATATATATATATATCAGGCCTTATTAAAAATAATTTAACTATCTATTTTTTCTTTATCAATAAAATAAATTCTTTCATAAATGCAATGAACGTTTTTTTTAAGGTTTGTAACCCACTATCTCAGATACTTTGTAAAAATGGTTGCCTATATAATATTAGCACTGATATTAAAAGGATTTTGGAGATATTGTTACTTTAAAATCAGCTATTTTTAGCTGGTTTTTTTTGTTCAACGGCCATTTTGATTTTACTATAGTTTTTGTTTTACAAGTTACTGTTCAACTAAACATGTAATTAAACTGAAAATTAGCACCAGTATAGTTTTTAAGACGAGAAATCAGAATATAATATTTGTTTTTAATGAAAACAGTTTGAAGTTTATCAATATTGGGATTGTACTTCACCTATAGCAATTTTTGAAATTTTAATAAAGGTAGAAAGGAGGTCTGGTAACCATGGTAGCATTAATTTTTTTTCATTTTTTTTTTGTTTTTATCAAAATAGATATATTAAAGAGTGTTTTAGTACAAAATTGAGAGGTGGGATTTTTTAGGATCTTTAAAAATAATTAAACGAATTATAATGAAAAATTACATTTGGATGTTACTTATTAAAAAATTGCTTTTTTAAAAATTTCCATTATAAGAAAAAAAAAACCATTAACAAAAGTTAAAATGAAAAGTTCATAATAAATGTAATATATTGAGTCAAAATAATCAAACAAATATGAGTTTTAAATAAAAAAACTAGTCAATTGCTTATAAGAAAAAACTGGTGTAATATGATTGAATTAATTTAAAGATTAGATTTTGGGCAAATCATCTGTGTTTATCTGGTATATGCGCCCTGTTCTTGAAGATAATGGTTTTTTTATGATAATTAAAATAAGGGGCTTAGGAACCAAACAACAATCATCTCTACTTGGCCAGTGTAATAAAGTGTTAGGTAAATGAGGATGCATGAATTTTACAAGGGCGTCTTCATTTCTTTCATCAACTTTAAATACCAAACCAACCCAGTTAAGCATATCATATTTGCAGATATAATATTTCCCTGCAATGACTTCTTGAAGATATTGAATTGAGCCAGTAAGGTTGAATGTTAGATTAAATTCCTCCTGCTCATAGACTCTTTTGACATTTATGCTTTTTGCATCCTATTGAATAAATTGGTGGAAACTTCTTGTACCAGGTAAAGTCTTTGCATTATTCAATCGGAGAGTCAAAGATTTACAGACTAATAAAATATCTTTGCCTTTTAAAAAAAAGAAGTGGTTGCCAAATTTGTTATCTTTTGAAAAAGTAAACATTTCTTCAGCGTTCTGAATTTGTAAGTCAATTGGATGCTGAAGACTAGCATTTGAAATAAGTCTTCCAAAAACTGTTCCACCAATGCCATCACATGGTGACTTTCCATGTGATGTTGCAAAGAATCTCCATTCACATTGTATCCCAAAATCTTTAACATGATGGCATAAATTTAAAAAGTTTGCAATTTTTGTACTGACCAGCACAACCATCAGAGAAATAGTGAATTTTTATGGTATTGGGAAACATTTCTTGTAAAAATTGGACAGCTCTATTTATTATACAATAAATAAATCCAACATTGTGTGTTAAGTCATCAGATATAAAGCATAAAGATGTTGATTGACTTTTAGTAGAACCAACATCATTTTTTTTATGAATAACTACAGGATGTAGTGGGCATTGCTGTTGGTTCCAGTGGTAACTCTGGATTTTGTCTTGTATGACAAATTTAAAGTTTTCTGCAAAATCAACTAAAATAATAATTTCATTTATGGGTATAGATGACTTTAATGTATTTAAATATTTACTTTATTCTTTAGCAATATAAGAGTGAGATGTTATGCTATCAAGTTTTTCACTAAGACTTTCAATGAATTCACTTATTGTAGATGTGTAACTTAGAAGCTCTGCTCTATCTGTTGTACTCCACTGTTTGTATTCAATTATTTCATCTTTATCCACTTTGTCATTCTCTTCAAATGATCCTTCAATAGATTTGCAGTTATATATATTATAATATTTTGAATTCTAGGGCATTGATTACATCTATGGGCTATGCATTCCCTTGACTCTCTGCTACAAACAATCTTCTCAATAAGTTCATGGTAATTCTTCTCTAGTTTAACTGCGCTAAGCATAAGCTTTAGGCTTTGGTGTATTGCACATATAAACAGCATAGGTTCCTTTTTGACCAGCATAAATACACCATTTTGATTTTAACTGAGCAAATTTAGAAAATCCTATTTTGGATTGAGGGTGTTCTAGTTTGAATTCAATAAATAATTCCTTTAAATTGCAAAGAAGTAATCACTTTGATACATGTTTATTTTTGGATATACTTACAAAATCTTTTATACCTTGCAACATTCCACTATGCTGATCATTACCATAGAAGCTTTCCACCTTATTAATGATATCTGATTCAATTCAATCAATGTTAGTTTTTTCTGGAAGTGTTAATATTCATTTTTTAAATTTAAGTTTTCTTGCTTTAGTTATGGTTGACTTTGATATATTAAATACTTCAGCTGCTTTCCTTAAAGACCATGAACCTGGAACCAATGTTAAAATCTGAATCTTTTCTCTTCTATTTGCTGTTTTCAGCTTTTCTTGCATTGAAAGTATCAGTTTATCTAGATCTTCAGCTTTCTTCTGATTTTCAACATTGGGCTCCCCAATAACATCATTTTTCAGGTCTGTTGAATTAACATTAAGGATAACTGATAGCTTTTTTGAAATAACATTAGTAGCTTGCATTAATTTTCTTTTTCCTAGAGAAATTTTAGCATGTTTTAAAATGTTTGTTCCAGAAAATTATCTTCACCATTGTGGTCCTGTAAGGTAGACCAATCATCTCTTTTTTTTACCACTTCTTTTCGACATGAAGGACATATTTTAAAACCAGGTGTTGTTTCAATACCAATTGAAAACATATCTTTTGCCAGTTGAATATCAATTTCTCGCAAACAACCTATAAATATATTATAAATGAATAAAATTTGCCAAAATCAGGAAATACTAATTTAGATAATACAAAGATGTTAGAAATAAAATGAAAAAATTAAAATTTTTTTAACTAATTGAAAGTGTGCTTGTGTGTATTTTTTGTAAAAAGACAGCACAATAAGTTAAAAACATAAAAATTTACCATTTATATTAGTTTTATGCTTTTTAAATTGGCGATGTAATTTTTTTGGGAGTTTGCAAACCAGTTAAGTAAAATTTGTTCATGATGCAAATAGATTTTAACATTAACATTTAATATTGATAGCCCAGATCTCCATAATAATAAATTTCTATCTTTCTCTGAATAGCTTGATAAATCTTTCAATCCAATTGATTTAGTGTACACCATTCTATGAATTTTTTTGAATTTTTTTTTAGCTATAAATAAACACAAAATATATACATTTATTAAAAATGGAAAAAATATTTATCATTAATATTTTTAAATATGATATTATGTATTTATTTTTTTAACTTTAATAATTTTTTTTTTAATTAAAATATCAGACTAATTAGACTGTCTTTGGGTTTTAAATATTAAGTTTTTCTTCTATTTTAGTGAAAGATGACATAATATGACATTAATTAGACAGCAAAAATTTATTTTAAAAAAAATATTTATTTGAATTAAAGTTTCTTTAAATAATAGGTTAAAATAGGGCTATTGCTCTCAATATATCTAAAGCCTTCGACAAAGTTTGGCATGCTGGTCTTCTCCATAAGCTTGCTTCATATGGTGTTTCTGGCAAAGTTTTTGAGATTATCAAATCATTTCTTTCTAACCGGTTTATTAAAGTCATCCTTAAAGGCCAACACTCTTCTTTATTTCCAGTAACTTCTGGGGTTCCCCAAGGTTCCATCCTGGGCCCTGTTTTGTTTCTTATCTACATAAACGATCTTCCTGACAACCTTTCATCTAAAGTAGCTCTTTTTGCTGATGACTCTTTATACTCCTGTCTTGACAAAAAGTCTTCTCTTTTCGATCGCCTAGAACAAGCAGCTGATCTTGAATCTGATCTCACTTCAGTAATAGATTGGGGTTCACAGTGGCTTGTGAATTTCAACTCTAACAAAACCCAGTTGTCTACTGCAAACAACTACCGTAATATGGTCAACATTCCTATATTAATGAATGGCAATCCTCTTACTGAGTCCTCCTCTTTACGTCTTCTTGGATTATTGCTTACTACTGACCTTTCATGGAAACCATATATACAATCGATTGCTAAATTAGCTTCTGCTAAAGTTGCTTCTCTTTATCGTGCTCGCCATTTCCTTACTTCTGATTCCATTCTCTACCTCTACAAATCTCTTATTTGTTCCTGTATGGAATACTGTTGTCATATTTGGGCTGGTTCTTCTAACGATTCACTTTTTTTCTTGACAAGGTCTAAAAACGCATTGTAAATGTTGTTGGACCTGGACTATCTGCTAAGCTTGAACCTCTTTCCCATCGTCGTAAAGTTGCATCTCTTTCTCTTTTCTACAAATACTACCATGGTCACTGCTCAAAGGAGTTATCATCTCTAGTTCCATCAACTAAAATTCATTCTCGTTTTACTTGTCATTCAGTTAAGTCTCATTCGTTTACTGTATCTGTCCCTGCATTCTCTAAAAACTTTTATTCATCTAGTTTTTTTCCCCGCACTTCAATCCTTTGGAACTCTCTCCCATCTTCATGTTTTCCTGACTCATACAACCTTCAACTTTTCAAGTCTTCTGTCAACCGTTTCCTTGCTCTATAACTCTGTTCTTTTTTTTCCTAGTAACTTCAAACTTAATAGTGGCTGCTTGCAGCCTTGTTGGGAGTGAATGCAAATAAAAAAAAAAAAAAAAAAGGTTTTCTTTTGTGACTAGTGAAAATTGTAAATGTCAATTAATTAAAAAAAAAAATCATGAACACAGACCTATAATACTTATTTTTTCACATAATACTCCTATATTTATACAAAAGATTTCAAAAAAACCCACCTCAAAATTTTGCACCAAAAAACTCATTAGAATATCTATTTTAATTAAAACAAACAAAAAAAAAAATCACAAAAAAATAATGCTACCATGGTTACCAGGCTTCCTTTTTGCCTTTGTTAAAATTTTAAAAATATCTGTAGGTGAAGTATAATCCTCATATTGATATAGATCTAAATATTTTCATTGAAAACAAATATTATGTTCTGATTCCTCGTCCTAAAAACTATACTGGGGCTCATTTTCAGCTTAATTACTTGTTTTAGTTGAACAGTAACTTGTAAAACAAAAACTATAGCAAAATCAAAATGGCTGCCGAACAAAAAACTGCTAAAAATAGCTAATTTTAAAATAACAATATCTCTAAAACCCTTTTGATATCAGTTCTAAAATTTTGCAAGGTAGTCTATATTATATAGGTGACCATTTTTACAAAGTATGAAGAAAATCTGAGATGGTGGGTTACACTTTCTCATGGAATACCTAAATTGTTAATTTTTGTGTAGCGTTGTTTAAATAAACACTGCATAAATAATAACAAAAAACAGTTTTAATATTCCAATAGAAAAAATGTTTTTGCCTAATGTAAATTGCTGAAAGTGTAAGTGAAGTCCCCATTCCATACTAAAAATGCATTCATTATAATGCTCCTTAACAAAGCCTGAGTGTATTGGTTGATTCAGCCTAAAAAAATGTTAAAACTTTACTGTTTATGCTGTTAAATTTTTGGATTTGGATTTAGATTTTTATATAGTTATCATTTTGATATTTTTACATTATTTCGCTTCATTTGAGACCCAACATGGTACACTTTTGAAGAACTTTTTTTTTTAATAATTTTAGGAACTCGTTAAATTTTCAAGGGTCTTGAAGGACCCCTAGAAATTTTTTTATTTGAAAAATTTTTAAGTCCAGTGTTTTTTTTTTATCATAGAGAAAACTTTAAGGGGGTGGCAGCATATATTTTTCCAAAATGTTGTTTTTTGGGACACACTAGTATTGGTTATATTGTGCTTTAAAATTGTTTGTTTCAAGAGCATCGCTAACTTGCTTTGCAAGAAGTTCTATGGTTAACTTTTGATTGATGAAGAGTCCGGGCTAGCTGAGATTTTATTTGTACAATATGACTGTGAATGCCACCAGCTGATCCAACTAATGAGGAGGGAAACAATTTTAATGGATGATGCTTGGTAATGACAACAATCTACTTATCTATTAAATAGTACCATGTACTATTTAATACTGATGTGTTACATTACCTCATCTTCCAAAATCCTTGTGCATTTTTTTCTTGTTTTTCACAGAAAATGAAAAAAAAAAAACGAAAAATAATTTAAAGTTCTAACCCAAACCCTCAGTAACAACTCTATTGCATGTTCTCCATATATCATTTGTTGTATGTTCTGAAGCCCTTACAGCTTCCTAAACCTAAGAAATTTTTATTTGTTATTGTAACATTTTTTATTTTATGTTTTATGTTACCTAGAAAAAAGTTTTTTACTAATATTACTAATATATTAATATATATAATATAATATATTATGAGCAAATAATTTATTAATTTCATACTTTCAATGCTTTATTTTATTAGAGTTCTTGATTTATTTTGTATTTGAACACATTTAAATAGGTTACTGTAATTATCAATATTGTTATTTATCTTTAGCTAATTATATACCTTGTTATTTATTGAATTTTATATATTTTAATTAATATTTACTATTATTTATACTACATATTTATAATAGATATTTATACTATTATATACTACATATTAATATTTACTATTAAAAATGACTTTTTTACTCAATTAAAAATTTAATTGATATAGCTATTATATTTATGCCAGTAATTATTTTGTTTATTTGTTATTTAATAGAATTCTGCCACCTCTGTGTCAGGAAAAATATCTGTAGAAAAAGTTGAAAGACTGATTTATTCACCAAGTGATACGGTATACCTTTGAATTACATTTATATTATGTTAATACCTCTATAATTATAGAGATATTGGCAATGTGAAATTTCAGTATACAATGGACCGTATAATGTATATTTTACTAATCTATCTTTTAAAATTATTGATGCTGGAGATTCTCATACTTTAAATTTTCAAAATTTTTCTATATGTCCAAAAAAAGTTATGACTTTTTACTATTTTTATTAAAGTCTCGAAAAAACCATAATAGTTAAAATATATATTTTTAATAAAATATACATAAATCCTGTTTATCTCATTCTTCACAAATTTATTTTGTAATGATGTATTTTAGCTGTTTAAAACAAAAACCAAAAACCAAAAATGTCTATAAATCCAACAAATTCCTTGAACTTGAATGAAATGCATTCTTAAAAAAATGTTACATACTTCATAAAAATTTTTTTCAGCTGCTGCTTCTTCTTTTTATTCTTAACTTATTATTTATATATTATTTTATTCTATTTATTTATATATTATTTTGAACAATACGCAATTACACAGCCTTTGTTCTCTTTATTCAGCCTTTGATCTCGTTATGCAATTTTAAATTATAAGATATCTTATCTTTGAATCTTTGCACATGATTAAAATCATTACTAATGCATGATTATACAAGTCATTGAAAGCTCTGAAAACAGCAATTATTTTTGTTTCTTATAATCCATTTTTAGCACTTACTAGTAACAATTAAAGCAAGTCAATTTTATTCAAGAGTTGTAGAACATTGATTACTATTGAGTTCCCCTGTGCGCATTTGAGGTCTCTAAAAACTCAAATTATTTGACCAGTCAGTAGCTTTAAAGAAACAAGATGCTGTTTGATTCAAAATGATATTCAAGTGATCAAAAAGGCCATTGTTTATTCCAAGAACCATGTACAATTCCATGATAGGCAGGAAATCATAATTAAAGGTGTCATCTAGAAGTTCAATCAAGGAAGGTTCATACAAGTGTTATAACAAGCTGCTGAGAGCTTTGTTTTTTTATTTGAAAGAACTCCAAAAGCTGCTTGATAGTTTTAGGCATTTAATCATTCCTAAGTCCAGTCAAACCTGGTTTTCTAAAGTCATTCTTTAAAAAAGTTTCATAAACTTAAAATTTTTTATTTTTTTTACTCTTTTATTTTAATTTTATTGTTTTTATAATATTATGGGAAAGCCTTTTAATTAACAACTTACTTCTAATGTTGTCTAATAGTTATGCATATTTAATAGTTATGCATATTTGATAGTTATGCATATTTAATAGTTATGTCTATTTAATAGTTATGCATATTTAATAGTTATACATATTTAATAGTTATGCATATTTAATTAAATTTTTTTTTTCTAATTTAAAAATAGTAAGTTTCCATACAGATTTTTTTTTTTAAGATTAACACTTATAAAAAATACATAATAGTAATATAATATATAAATAAAAAAAACTATGTATTCATCAATACTTTATATCAAAAATCATGATGTGATTTTATAAGCATTTGAATTATAAAAAAATATTAGCAAAGATCATTTTGCAACGGATTTTAAAAACATTTGTTTTGTTTTTTTGACAAAGTTTTTCATCTTTTTAATGTATTGACAAATGATTTTTTACAAAATTCATTAAAGAGATTATCGCTGTCTAAGAAAGTCTTTGTTTATAAACTCAAAATATTTTTTTTTAAATAACATTTATTTAAAAAAGACTTTCAATATGTAGTTGCATTATTTCAGATAGTTAAAAGTTCATTATCAGAAAATATTTGTCTGAATAAAGTTATCATCTTAAGGAATTTAAGAAAAAACTTTGGGAACATTGATTTTTATAGCTTAAGAAAAAATATTTAGGAGCATTGATTCTTATACTTGATAAAAAAACTTTTGGGAGGGTTGATTCTTATAGCTTGATAAAAAACTTTCAGGAACGTTGATTCTTATAGCTTAAGAAAAAACTTTCGGGAGCATTGATTCTTATAAAACTCTTGAATTAATAAAGAAATAAAAGTAGAACTGCTGAAAAAATTAATTGTCGCCCCTTTGACTTAATTGCATCAAAGAAATATTTTTAGTTGTCCTTTACGAAATATAGGTATCATTGGGCAGTCACGAGTGTACACCTCCAACAGTACAAGGGTTTGGATGAAATATTTCTAGGTCTTTTAGTTGCCAACAATGCTGGTATGCTTTGACAGGACCCCGAGATGATAAAAAATCTTGTGCTACTTAAGGTCTCCTTAAAGGAAATGAAAAAGCCCTAGAGGACCCTTTACTTTTGCTAATTGGATCATAATGTGCTATTTCACAAATAATACATTGACACAATCTAACTTTAAAAATATTGAAAGGTTCATTGGGATCTGGTGTTTTTTTCTGCCTTTTTATTTTTAAAAACTAAAGAAGGTTTCTACACCTGCCACATTTACCTAAAGGCAAGTGATGACCTTCTAGATCATATTTCTCAATGATATATTTGCTTATTCTTGGGAGTGTGGAATCAGTATTAGAAGTTTTGCTTGAAGTTTTTTGAAAGCAGATATGCTTGAAGTTTTTTGAAAGCTGACCAAACACACTTTGGCTCAATTTTCATTATGAGAAAAATCGAATTTGCTAAATTGATTTATCTTTGTTAATGACACGACTTTGTTTTATAACATTTGTAATGTTAAAACTACTATTTAAAAAAATCAAATTTAAGTCAACCTGAGTCAGTAATATCAGTAAGATATTTCTAATACAAATGATTTTTCTTTTTGAGATTTCTGTATAGTTTTTCTTTGTTTAAAACTAAGGTTGACTTACATTTGATTAAGACTCAGGTTGACTTAAAGGATTTTTTAAAAAGTCTTTTAGTACCTACCTTTCTAGATCAATTTCTATGATAAAAAGCTGTTTTTTATATAAAGGGTTGTTCTTGTTTAAAAGATGAACGAAATGATTGTGATTAAAATAGGACCTGCGCAAGAACGAGAAACTGATAAGAAAGAATAAAAGCTTCCATCCCTAAATTTAAAAGGAGAGATGTAATTTTTGGCAGACAGACTCAAGACATTAGCCTAACAACAATCGCAAAAAAAGTTACAAAAATAATCCCAGTCATTTTTAAGATAGTAATAAGAAGTGATTCTTGAGTGTTTTTGTTTTCATGTTTTATGCAGTTGTTTCATGTTTATTGCATGTTAATGCTGATACAACTTATATACCATTCATAATAGATGTACATGTAGAGAAAGAATTAAGGCTATACTTTTTTTACAGTTCATTCTTTTTCTACTTGCTTTAGGGCATGGTATTGTGTTGTTGTTCATCTTTCTGTCCTTTAAGACTGCCCTTAATTAAATGAAAGCAAAATAGAATTAAAATTGGCCATTAAATTGTATATAATTACACTTTCAACAATAAATAAAATAATATTTTCAAATAAAAATAAAATACACTATTGAATTATTTTTAGATGTGCAAAAACTGTTTAAGTATTTTTTTAAAATAGCAATACTATATAATGTAACTATATAAAAACAACAATTCTTTAAAAAAAAGATGATTTCAAAAGATTACAGAAATGCTAAACATCAATTCATTTTATATTTTATGAAAAAATAATTGAGCATACTTATTTTATTGAAATTTAATTTGAATTTTATCATTATGATTATTTTTCTTAAACAATTTAGAATTCAATATAATTATTGTTTTCAATGGCTTATAAGGTTTAATTTATTTTCAATGGCTGATAGGGTTTAATTTATTTTGATTGGTTGATAAGGTTTGATTTATTTTCATTTGTTGATAGGGTTTTATTTATTTTTGTCTTAAATCATCAAAAGTGATTTATGTGATTTTTAATATTTTTCTAAATATTTACTTGATTGTCAATGTTATTTAACTGTTGCATTTTATTATGCAAAATTCTAATATACTAAAGGTTTATAGTTTAGCACTTTGAATGAAACAAATAATTAAAGAATTAAATTAAAGAAATATTATTTGTAAAACCATAAGTAAAGCAAATTAAAAATAAATCTTAATGATCATTTTCAGAATGTAGTAAAAAAGTTTTTTATGGCAATAGGCCTTTCTGAGATAAATTGCAAAAGGTCCATGTAAGAATCTTTAATAACCTCTAGTGCCATCACCCCCATGAGTCCAACATTATTTATGGTCTATATAAATCATTTGCTAGAATGCATAAGCAACAAAAAAATTTTCAGAATGTATGCAGATGACACAAAAGTCCTCAGTGTACACACTAAACACTTTAAAAAGTAAACTACGTCTTCTAGCTGATATTGACACAAAAGTCCTCAGTTTACACACTTAATACTTTAGAAAGAAAATATTTCTTCTAGCTGATATTGATAACATTGTAAATATTTCTAATACAACTTAACATAATAAATATTGTAAGTAGTGTACATAAACCTATCCAAATTTCTCCTATACCTATTTTATTTTGATGAATATAAGTCAAATGGATCCATATAGAATCAAAAACATCAAAAAAAGGTGTTTTTTGAGGTCCTAAGGTAAAATGTTAAGCATTCATCATTATTGTCAAAACAATCAAAATGTTGTTTAAAGTTTTGCTTGCAGAAAAGTAAACATTTGGAAAAAGATTTTTACATTTACACCATCATGCCACAAAATGTTCTAAGAATTGAAGCTCTTTGATAACACAAGAATTGAAGCTCTTTGATAACCCAAGAATTGAAGCTCTTTGATAACACAAGAATTGAAGCTCTTTGATAACCCAAGAATTGAAGCTCTTTGATAACACAAGAATCGAAGCTCTTTGATAATACAAGAATCGAAGCTCTTTGATAACTCAAGAAATGCTAAACTTGGCCTAGCTTCACTGAATGACAAAAAAAGACGAGTTTGGAGATCTTATCCAAATAATGTTCAAACTTAAAAACAAAACTTAGTTGATAATTTTAATACAAACCCCATATCTGCAAAGGTTATTTATAGTCCCAACCCATAATACAGCTGACAAAGCAGGTGTGTGTTTGCATTGGTTACAAAAATATTTTGCTCATTGATTTTTTTATGTTAATTTGACCCCGGTAAGATATTTCTAATACAAATGATTTTTCTTTTTGAGATTTCTGTAAAGTTTTTCTTTGTTTAAAACTCAGGTTGAATTACATTTGATTAAGACTCAGATTAAATTTGATTTTTTTTTAATAGTAGTTTTATATTGCAAATGTTATATAACAAAATAGTTGAATTTCTAAAAATTATTAAAATTTATATAGGTAATGTATTCTGTATGTTTGTAAGAAATTAAACCAATAAGTTATATTTTAAAAATTGTAACTGTAAAAAATTTCATCTTTAGAATCATGTTCCAGTTCCACCGGTCTCTCAGCTTAAAAATAAGGTCATGGTTAGAAAGTATGCCAAAAAGGACAGAATCACGGAGAGTTCTAAAAATAAAATAAAGTAAAGTGTTTCTAAGTTTTTAAATGTTGTTATTCACTATGTTGTTGGTGTGTGAATATTTATACATTTTTAAAACAAAATATTTCTAAAAGTTTATGTAAGCAAATATTGCAAGTGTTTTGACTAATTTTATTAAATTTTTTATAAAGTTGTGAGTTTTTATATAATATAAAATGAATTAACAAGTTAAAAATTAGTTTTAAAAGATTAAATATAATTTAACTACTGGCTATAACTTTTATAACTAAAAAGTTTGATTATTGTTATTATTTTTTAAATTTTATAGTTGTTTTTTTTTTCATTGTAAAAAATTCCAATTGAATGACAATCTGATAAGATGCAGTAAAAAAAGCAATTTAGGGAATAATAACTTTGAGAAAGAACAAAGAAAAAGGTAATTGTGTAAAGAGGTTCTAAACAAAAGAATATATACCAATTGTAAGTGATTTCATGGTAAATAGATAAATTTATACATAAGTATATGCCAGGTAATCTAAGTGACTATTGAAGACTGAATGTTGCCAATCATTCGAAGGCAAAGAATATTTTTTAACTACAATATTACTTTGAAAACCAAGAACATTTGCAAGCTATAATATTTCTTCAAAGACCAAGAATATTTGTAAACTACAATATTACTTTGAAAACCAAAAATATTTGTAAACTATGATGTTACTTAATATACCAAAAATATTTTTAAACTATGATATTATTTCGAAGACCAAGAGTATTTGTAAACTACAATATTACTTTGAAGACCAAGAATATTTTTAAACTAGGATATTACTTCTAAGACCAAATTATCCACAACTTTTTTCAGTCAGTATATAAGGAAGTATTTTATTATTTGCGCTAAAACATGGACAATATCAAAATTTGTTTTTCACATGTTTTAGATAAACTTTACTGTTTTTATCAATGCACAGACCTATTTATATTTGTATAAAATTTTTATTTTTCAATAAATTCTGATGTAAAAAAGTAAAAATTCATTAATACCAATATTAAAATATAAAATATTTAGTGTTTTTCACTACCCCCATTGAAACAATTTATTTCCTGATAAACTATTGTTATTGACTATGCTCCAAAAGCTTGTGGGCTAGTGCATTGTTAATTTACTGAACTTACATGACTTAAGCAACAGGTGTTGCTCAAGTCATGTCAAAAGTGAATAACCAAGACAATGTTTGTAACTTTATATAAAAAGAAAAGCTTGCCTATATAATTTGATATAAATATAAAATAAATAATGAAAAATTTTTGGGTTATTTTTTGGGTTGTTTTTTGGGGTTATTTTTGGGGGTATTTTTTGTTTAAAAATCTCTAATTTTTGATTTTTCACTTATTTGAAAAGGTCCTTTTCAAAAGTATGTATAAACAATATAAAAATTTATATTACTAAGTCTTAATATTAAAAATGTAATTACTGCAAAGATGACAATCCTGGCTCTAAACTATGTTGGGGGGATGACAGTTTTAGATTATTGCTGCATAATATCTTTTAATTTAAAATGTAATAACTACAAGCACCTGACATTCCTGGCCCTAAATTGTGTTGGGGGGGGGCATGATGATTCTATATAATTGTTGTATAATATCTTTTAATTTGCTTGTTCCTTTTATGCAACCAAAAAACAATTTTTTTTGTGAGGGACTGAAAATTGTCACTTTATTAAAATCTTTTTTTTTAAATATTATTTTTAAATTCAATTTTCTTTAGAGTGTTGGTTGCTCATACAGTAAATGAAAATGATTCTCAACTTTTTTCAAGTAAGAAATAATTTTAGTATTTTATATATATATATAAAATACTAAAATTATTATATATATATATATATATATATATATATATATATATATATATACATATATATATATATATATATATATATATATATATATATATATATATATATATATATATATATATATATATATATATATATATATATATATATATATATATATATATATATGTATATATATATATATATATATATATATATATATATATACATATATATATATATATATATATTATATATATATATATATATATATATATATATATATATATATATATATATTATATATATATATATATATACATATATATATATATATATATATATGTATATATATATATATATATATATATATATATATATATATATATATATATATATATATATATATATATATATATATATACACACACACACGCACACACACACACACAGGCCAAATTTTGTAAATGTACATAAAGTTATTAACAAACAAAAAAATATTTTTTGTTTTTAAATAACTTTTATTTTTTTTGTAAATGCAATGCATTTTAGTGAAGCTGCACCGAGCAGTGTACGCCTTAGGGATGAATAATAAGTTAAAAAGAGTTTAGCAGAGTGAGATAAAAGTACAAAAGGACAGATGTCCAGAGGAAAACAAAGAGCCTCAAAGTGGAAGAATATTAAAAACTGATATGAGTAAAGTGTAGTAAAAAGTAAATAAGAATAATAAACAACAGTCAAGGAAAGTCATTAGTTGTTGTGCTACTAATTTGTTGTTAGAGTACAGCGTAAATGTGATTTGTAGATAGAATTGGTAATGGAGTAGAATTATTCGTTTTATAAGTAGTCACCATGTGGTTTGTATTCTAGGGGTGATGAACCTTCATTATGGATGAGTGTTGTGAACGTCTCGAGTACAGAATGAATTCGTGCCCTATGGTGCAGTGTGAACGCATAAAGACCTCCAGCTTTCTTCCGAAACTGGCATCCCAAAAGAAGTTCCACTCTGGGTCTACACCAGGGTATCTTTTTAAAGGTATCCCATTGTGTTATCCCAAAAGGACTATTCTCAGAGTATCCAGTCAGGAAGATTGCCACAGACTCCTGAATTGACACTGGGACCAGAGGACTCTTAGTGGGGTTCAGTACAGCTTGCAAACAGTAGTAAGTAGTTTTTTGACATGAGTGTCTATTGGGTGCAGTGGTTTGTCAGAGTCAATGACAGTTGTGAACTGTTTTGAGTTCTTTTAACTGTGTGTTATGCAAGTAGATAATGCAGTGTACGTGTGTTTGATTACTTTTGTAGCATGTCTTGATAGTGAGAGATATCAGTATAAAAATAGTTGAAAGTCTTTTAGTTGGTGTTACATAAGGTAGACGTGAGTACTATAAGTCTAATATGCGTGTATCAATAAAAAATAGCATAAATAAATAACAAACTATTACATCTTGATAAACTAGAAATGTTAAACAGAGCTATATCAATAGAGCACCAATGACTAGTGTATGTGTATTGCAGCTACTAATCTGTAAATATATTTAACAATTCATAATCTAAAATTATATAAATGTATATATATGTATATATATATATATATATATATATATATATATATATATATATATATATATATATATATATACACACACGCACACACACACAGGCCAAATTTTGTAAATGTACATAAAGTTATTAACAAACAAAAAAATATTTTTTGTTTTTAAATAACTTTTATTTTTTTATTTTTTATTTGCATTCACTCCCAACAAGGCTGCAAGCAACCACTATTAAGTTGGGAGTTACTAGGAAAAAAAGAACAGAGTTATAGAGCAAGGAAACAGTTGACAGAACTTGAAAAGTTGAAGGTTGTATGAGTCAGGAAAACATGAAGATGGGAAAGAGTTCCAAAGGATTGAAGTGCAGGGGAAAAAACTAGATGAATAAAAGTTTTTAGAGCATGCAGGGACAGATACAGTAAACGAATGAGACTTAGCTGAAAGACGAGTAAAATGAGAATGAATTTTAGTTGATGGAACTAGAGATGATAACTCCTTTGAGCAGTGACCATGATAGTATTTGTAGAAAAGAGAAAGAGATGCAACTTTATGACGATGGGAAAGAGGTTCAAGCTTAGCAGATAGTCCAGGTCCAACAACATTTACAATGCATTTTTGGACCTTGTCAAGAAGAGAAAGTGAATCGTTAGAAGAACCAGCCCAAATATGACAACAGTATTCCATACAGGGACGAATAAGAGATTTGTAGAGGTAAAGAATGGAATCAGAAGTAAGGAAATGGCAAGCACGATAAAGAGAAGCAACCTTAGCAGAAGCTAATTTAGCAATCGATTGAATATATGGTTTAATATTACTTGTTGCAAACAAAAAAACTCAAGTTAATTACTTTACCAGCGCTTTTTTTGTGTGACAAACAAATATTGAAGTTTCCAGGTATCATTTATTAAAAAATATATACAAAAAAAATAATTGTACGCTTTATGAATATTTTTAATGCAGTGTCATAGTTATAACATGTTTATTATTTTTCTAAACTATTATTTTTTGAAAAATAAAACATAAGTATAAACAAAGATATTGCAAGAGCTATATTGCTTCAAGCGTAAACTCAAGCACAAATATTAATAATAGATTTATATCCATAAAAGAAGTTTTATTTTTTTTTAATTATTAAAAAATAAAATCTTTATAAGATGTCATTTAAAGTTTGCAATAATTAATGTTTTTTCATTTTATTGATATAAAATCATAACAAAGCAAACAAACTAAATTTTAAATATCAAAAGTGGCGCTAATAGAAAATAAAATTTAACATGTACTATTTTTTTCTTAAAATTTTTTTGTTTTTAAAATTGTGTAATCAGGCCTTGGCAGGAGTAAATGGGAGTAAACAAGCTATCTGTTTATTCATAAAAAAAAATTGCTTATTAAATACCAAATTTGGTTTTATACTTGTTACAAACGTGTTTGTAATGTTAATGTTACAAAAATATATACATAACAAGCGTCATTTATTGCGCCGTGAATAAATTCTTTAGACGAGTATGTTTCTTTGAGTTCTCAGCATAAGGAACCTTATGCTGAAAAAATATGTCATCAAAATTTTTCAAACCAATGATTGTGTTTGTTAAAGATTCTCATAACATCAAAAATTGAAATCATAATTTGAAATCCAACAGAGATATTTTAATTAGGATATTTTGTGCAGAAACTTAAATTTGATCGTTGTTTAATGATAGATATCACCTCCGAAAAAGAACCTGAAAAATGTTGTGTTACTAGAATTATTTATGAGAATTATTTTTATGACCAATATGTTTGTTAATAAAAAATAAGAGTTATAAAATAATTCAGGAATCGATTCTGTGCATTTTTATTTAATATTTAGACTTGAGTGAAATAATTTTTTTTAAGAGAAGATTTTAAAATAACTTATTATGGGTACTTTTGGTATACAGTATCACTACAAAGAATTTTGATTGGATTTTTGATCAGCATTAGGGTCTCTATTTTTGAGGTGCCTGTCTGCTTTTTTAATATAGATTAAGCAAACAGATTTTCTGCAGTCTTCATGGTTTTTAACAAACGTAGGCATGATGGAAAACAAATTTTTTGAATGTGGAAATAAAATATTTTGCATGGGCGTAAAGAATAAGTAAATTTTTCTTAGCTCAAAAAAATCAATTGAAATTCTGGATAGGCTCTTTATAAGTACTATACAAAATTTGGATCAATTATCACTTTGATAATGAAAAACTTGTAAAATGCTTCGTTGACATCTTTCATTAGACAACGGTCAAATTTTTAACTTTCTGCACAAAATATCCAAATTAAAATATCTCTGATTTCAAACTTTCAATTGTGATATGAGAACCTTATACACAATAATTGGTTTAAAGGATTTTTATGGGGTATTTTTTCAGCATTTCATGCCAAATTTTTAGGGAGTGATTATTACACATTATTTTAGTGCATGCGAGATCCCGCAAAAACTACTGCGGGATTTGCGGGATCCGCAGGATTTGCTGAGTTTTGAAATTATTGCTTTTAAATAAAAAAAAGCAATTCTATAAACAAAGACGAAAAAGATATCAAATTAAAGTATTTAATGTATTTGCATAACAAATTCATTTAAAAGTTTACTAGTCATTAAATGCACAATAAAATGTATACTGAGAAACTTGTTCAATTTTTTTTTTGTTTTGTTTATGATTAGTCATAAAATAGTCATTAAGTGCACAATGAAATGTTTACTGAGAAACTTGTTCAAATTTTTTTTGTTTTGTTAATGACTATGTTGAAATTTTTGCTAATGAGTATATTGAAATTTTTGTTGATGATGTTGAAAACGTTAAATTGAAAACGTGATTAATAAAAAGCCCACTACTTTTTAAAAAGACTTCAAAAATTATTTACATCAAGATTTTAAAACAAAAGTACCTACTAAGCATGTCACAAATTAAAACTATATGGAATTATTTTAAAAAAAGTAAAAAGGAGAAAATGCGAAGTGCATGTTATGTTCGGCTATTTTAAAAATTAGTCAAAGATCAACAAAAGGGTTATTAATCCATTTAAAAACTAAACATGGAACTGATTTAAAATCAGTTCCATGTTTAGTTTTTAAATGGATTAATAAAACACTTTAATCTTGGATTGATTTGAATCCATGGATGGTGTAATGCAGAATATTGCGTCAAGTTAGTTGCAGGAAGGCTAAATAGCTTCAATATCGACCTCCAAAAAGATATTATCGCCATGACCATTGATGGAGCAAGTGTGATGGTGAAAGTTGGTAAAATGATGTCTTGCTATCATCAAATATGTTATGCTCATGGAATACAACTTGCAGTTATTGATATCTTGTACAAGAAAAACAACGGAGAAGCCGAATAATCGTTTACTACAAATAACAATTGCGAAGAAGATGAACATGAGAACATTGATGATGATGAAGTTATAAATAAAGAATATGATTTGACAATAATTTTGGACCGACCATCTGCTGAATTGGTTAGCAATTACAAAGATCTCATGAAAAAAGTGAGAAAAGTTGTGAAAATATTTAAAAACTCTCCTGTCAAAAATAATACATATTTACAGAAGTATATCCTACATGAACATGGCAAAAAGCTTAAGTTGATTCTTGATTGTAAAACTAGGCGGAACAGTATGTTCAATATGTTAGAAAGATTTCATAGACTAAAAGTGTGTATTGAAAAAGCCTTAATTGATGTTGGGTCAGAAATTCGTTTGACCCAAGAAGAATGGTCCCAAATTAATGACTTAATTATTTGTCTGGCACCACTAAAACTTGGTCTCGAACTATTATGCAGGAGAGAATCGAACCTTGTCACTGCGGAAACAACTTTTTAAGTTTATGTTAGATAAATTACAAAAGCAATCATCACTTTTGAGCATTGATTTAGCCGCGGCACTTCGTGAGAGGTTTACACAACGTCGTAATAAGAATTTAAATGGACTACTGGTTTACTTTCAAAATCCTAAAAAAATATGAACAAGAAATTAAAAAAAATGAAAATACTTTTTCAATGCCAAAGAGAACCGTTATGCGTCAAGAAATAAAAAAAATATTGACAAGAGTTTATACAATTGAAAGAAATAAAGACGAAGAAAATGAACTCGAAGAAAAAGAAGCTGTAGATTCTATTAACAATTCCCAAATACTTACTCCTACAATTCTATCGCTGAAAAAAGAATTGGAAAATCATATACAGAAAGACAAGAAAAGCTGGACAGAAAATGTAAAGGAGATACCAAATTTAGATTCTTTAGACTTTGATAAATTATTGAAACAGGAAATGTCTGCCTATGAGAATAACGGAGTAAGAGGCAAGTTTCTAGATATAGCTCATAATTACTTGATGACCATATCGCCAACAAGCGTAGAGGCCGAGCGAGCTTTTTCTGCTGCTGGCTATATATGTAGTCCTTTGAGGAGTAGATTATGTGATGATACTTTAAGTAGGGTCTGTTTGTTAAGAGCGCATTTTTTACAATGATATTACTTATTTGATAAAAAAATTGACAAAGAGCTATAAAAGTTTTTACTGCTTATAATAAATATTTTATATTTTCTTATTTTAATAGAATGCAGGCATTTTAAGAATTATTATAACATTTAAAAATTTCACAAAAAAAGTGAATAAAATAATAAAGTAATTAATATACAAAATAAAAATTCATTACATAAAACAAAAATTATTATGCAATAATTTAGAGTGTAATAATCTATTTTTTATCAATATAATTTAGAGTGTAATAATTTTATAATTATCAAATAGTCATATCTAATCAAAAACAGCATTTAAAATTGCGCTCTTTTTTAAATTTTTTTCGCAATAACCGTGTCTTTTAAAAAGCATTTCAGTTTATTATGCAATTAATATTTTTTTTTAATGACTGTGTTTTTCATTTTAGTTATAATGATAATTATACTTTTGAGAGAAAGAATTATACTTTTGCAAGAGCCATAAGTTGCTCCCATAAACCATTTTAGGGGAGTGTGGGCATAATCCAGAGCTAAATGTATACAAAGACTCATCAGAAATGAATGATCAAATTAATAAAACTTCAATTTATACCAAAAAATTAAATCACAGGAAGTCGCAAATGTTTTAACTACTGTAAATTTTCACACATTTGTGGAATTTGCTGACACTATTATAAAAAGAATTCTTTAGAAATGAAATAACATATGCTATTTTTTATAAAAATATTTTTAAAAAAGGGGAAATTTAATGTAACTATTATTTGAGCTCACTTATTTTTATAGTTTTTTAGGAGAAACTTATTTTCGTGCCTGCATTTAGAAATCAATTCCAATTTTTTGTTTAACAAACATTCTTGGTTTGCATGTGTAGTTATTTGAAATTTTTCTTGTAGACATAGTATGCAATTTTTGGAAAAATAGTTGTATGCAGGCGCTGTTTTAAGGATGGACCAATTCAGTATAAAATCATCAATATTTTTATCTATTAGTTTCCATATATATTTTGACAGCATGGTGTCTTTTGAATACTTTTTATTTTTAAAAGAATACTTATGATTGGCAGAACGTTTTTTCCGTTCACCCTCTGTTATGCCAATATATTGTTTATCGGGTACATTCTTAGAGGAAACAACACATTTATATACCATATTTTTTGATAAACAACTTCCACTCATTAGACAATTGTTTTTTTGTTTACAATTACAATTTTCTGTAGTTTTTTCATTTAGGATTTCTTTTTTATTTGACAAAGCATTATTGTGACTTTTTATAATTCTTTCCATATTTTTGTGCAACTGTAGCTAACTTTAACTGTATTTTGATTAAAAATTTTATGTAATTTATTAGAGGGAGGGAAATGCTTATCGACCAATTTTAAAAACACTTTTCCTATGTTAGTGGAAACATTTTTGCTATATGGGGGGTTGAACCAAATTACATTTCTAGTTCTATTGCGTTTTTTTGTATTCTTTTTTTCAGGGTCAATTTTTAGTTCAAAATTTTCAAAACCACTTTTTTTAAGAGCATCTTCAAATATTCGTTTGGAGGAATTAAATACATTTTCATTAGAGAAGTCTTGGTTTAACCTGTTGTTAACTGAAATTGGGATTTGTTTTAGAATTTGTGGTGGATGATTTGAGTTAATGTTAATATACAATAATTCATTGTTTGGTTTTTTGAAAGGCTTATATGAATTTTCAGAGAGGTTAAATGTGACATCAAGAAAGTTCACAATTTTTAAATTTATGTTTACTTCGATTTGAGAGCCAATATTTAAAAAAAATTTTATAATATCTTTTCTAATCTTATCGAGCTGTGGACCCGATTTTATATATATATATATATATATATATATATATATATATATATATATATATATATATATATATATATATATATATATATATATATATATATATATATATATATATATATAAAATCGGGTATAAATATAAGATTATATATATATATATATATATATATATATATATATATATATATATATATATATATATATATATATATATATATATATATATATATATATATATATATATATATATATACATATATATATATATATATATATATATATATATATATATATATATATATATATATATATATATATATATATATCACTGCAAAAAATCACTGACCTCAAGACACTTTTAGGTTGTCAATTAAGTCTGCATTGCCAAATGACAAATCTAGTTCCAAGGGCTGGTATTGATAGTATATTTGCTGATATTGATATATAATGATAGTATATTTGCTGATATTGATATATAATGATAGTATATTTGCTGGTATCGGTAGTATATACAAGGGCTGATATTGATAGTCATTTTAATGAAAATCTATAGAAGTAGTAAAAGTTCAGGTGATTTTATATTGAATACGTACAAATTTTTAGAGGAACCTTTAAAAGATTATCATGTTCTTGGTTCACTTGAGGAGTATAATGCTAGAAGAGGAGTCAAACATGTTGATGATGTTACATTTGTTCCTTTTGAGGAAAAGTCTATAGAAATAGCAGAAATTCAGGTGATTTTACATTGAATATATATATATATATATATATATATATATATATATATATATATATATATATATATATATATATATATATATATATATATATATATATATATATATATATATATATATATATATATATATATATATATATATTAAATTTTGAAATAAAATAAAAAACAACTTTAAAAATGAAAAAGTTGTTTTTATCTATTTTATATAATTATATGCTATTATTTAACGCACATGAGTATTTGTGTTATATTATAGTAATACAATAAATTTTTATGTATAAACATGAACACACTATTTCCTCGCTTAGCCATGGAGGAAACATTTTTGATGATGTCATAATAAAATAGTCATTTTAATAGGGGTTTTAATGCATACCTTAACTAAGGGTTTAGGTTTGGTAAAGTACAATTTAGAAATAAAAGACATTTATTACATTTTTTTCATTTTTTTTTAATTTTGTTTTGTATTTTTCTTTTTCTGAAAATCTGTTTGATTTAAAGCCAGAATTTTAAAACTTAAAACTAAAAACAGAACAAAAAATATTTTTATTTCAGACAAATCAAACAAATGCTTTAAATAATTGGATCAAGAAGATGTCAGAAAGAAAAAAATTACAGAAACATCTTTCTGGTAAAAGTTTTATATTTATAGAGTAAAATATTCATCATTATTTATGATATTTATAGAGTAAAATATTCATCATTATTTATGATGTTTTACTCTTTTTATAATAGCTATTTATAATGGTATTTATATAAATAATAAAAAATAATTATTATTAATGTAAATAATGAATTAATGATAAAAATATGTATAGAGATGTGTGACTTAATAGTAATCAAAATTTTGTTAACTTCTAGAAACTCAGTTGGTCAATATAGAAACTCAGTTGATCAATATAGTTTTATTGTTTGTTTGTTTTTTGCATAGAAATTTTCATAGAAGAGTTCATTTTTTCCTTCAAATGTAAAAAGTCCGAGTTTATAAAAATGTAGAAATGTAGAAAGTCCATGAGTTTGATTTTTTCATATGTAGAAAGTGCATGAGTTTTTATATGTAGAAAGTCTATTAATTTTTTCATATGTAGAAAGAGTTTAAATTTTTTTTATTTGTAGACAGTCTATCAGTTCATAAAGATAACTTGGTCATGGGACAAAGTGATCAATTTCGCAGTGTTCAAGAACAGCGGTATTATGATCATTGTAATGATTTAAAGACTGAAAAGTTTTTTATTGGTGGCAGATGGTTTTATTGATTTTTATCATTTATTGAAATCATTTGAGAACTTTATTTTATGCTTTATTGGAAATTTTTTTGCAGATTTAAAAAAAAATTTTTTTTGTGTCATGCTAGGTATTAAGTAGTTATGGTCCCTCTAAATCCATATATTATAAATTTCTGTGTGTCATACTAAGTATTATGTTGTTATGCTCTCTCCAAATCCATATATTATAAATTTCTGTGTGTCATACTAAGTATTATGTTGTTATGCTCTCTCCAAATCCATATATTATAAATCTCTGTGTGTCATACTAAGTATTATGTTGTTATGCTCTCTCCAAATCCATATATTATAAAGCTGTTGTGGTTATTTTTGTATATTGTCATTCTACTATTAGATATCTCTCTATTATTATCTACATACTCTATATGGTTATTATTATTGTTACTATACCATCACTTTATTTTATAGTATGATTATTGAACGTACAATGCCATTTTTGAACAGCGGGAAGGGAAGTATGTATTAAATTTTTTTTTTAACTTTTTCACTTTTTTTTTTATTATTTGCATGTTCAAATATTATTATAGTTGTTTATACAATTATATTTAATTAAAAGATCAAGCTGGTAGTGAATTTTTATAATTTTTTTTTAAAAGATAAAGTCAATAATAAATTTTTTCAATTTTTTTTTAAAAGATCGAGTTGGTAGCGAGTTTTGGAAGCAGACTGAATTTTTGAAAAAAAATCAAGGTATTAGGTGAGTTTTTAAAAAAATCAAGTTATTAGGCAAGTTTTCGAAAAATTAAGATATTAGATTAATTCTCAAAAATTACGATATTAGATAAATTCTCAAAAATTATAATATTAGGTGAGTCTTCAAAAATTATAATATTTGGTGAGTCCTCAAATCTTTATTTTGTGTATTCAATTATCAACTTTATAGATGTTAAATATTTTATTATTATAAGATTGGGTATTTCCATGGCTTACCTAAATACACGGCCTTCAATTCTTAAATGGAAAAAAATAGAAGGCCAGTTGAAAAACTTTTTCCATTACATGGACAAACTTTCTCAAAATATTTAATTATTGCGCTATGAATATTAGGTAAGTAAATCTGGTACTGGATAAAAGTTTTTGCGTTAAATTTAATGCGGATTTAATTAATTGGACTTAATGTGTAGCAAATTTTATGGTGTTTTGATATGTGGTTCTTGAGATGTAGTCACTTAACTACCCATATAATAAATCTTGCTGTTTACATGCAGTTGAGAAAAGCTGAATAAGCCTAACTTTTTTATTGGGTTTTTTTTAGGGTTTTATTGGGTTTTTTAACTTTTTTATTGGGTTTTTTTAAGGTGATTTTTTTAAGGTGGTTTTTTTTTTTTTTTGGGGGGGGTTGGGTTTTTTGCCAACCCTGATATGGTATGGGACAGAGTAATATTGAGTTTAAAAAAAAAAAGAAATTTAACATGTTTTTTAATCTATTATAATTAGTATACTTAGTTATTTAATTGTAAAATATTAAATTACAATTTAATATTTTACAATTTATTTAATTTAACAGTATTTAATACAATTTACTACAGCTAATAGTTACTCTATAATAAATTTACAGTTTACTTATTGTGTAATTCTATTTTTTATTGTTAGCATAACACTAACTAAAGAGGAGAAAGGGAAGTTTTCCCCTATTGAATATATTGGATTATCTTCTCATATAAAGGAAGAAATGACAACTCAAGGAAAGAATACAACACGCTCAAATAAAGTTCATTTTGCATGGTCAAAATCATTTTATTTCAAAAAAAGGTTGGAAGAACTGCAGAGTGCTATAAATGAAATGAATCTATATGAACCGGTATAAATTATGTTATTTTGTTTAAATACAAATACAAAAAGTTACAAGCACAATGAAAAATTTTAATAACACTATTAACACTTTAAATGCACTTTATAATCCTATTTCTCTAATAGTTTTCTTAATTATATATGAACTTAGATAAAATTTAACTTCTCTTGCTTATATTCTTTTATAAAAATAACTGTTTTTTTTTTGCAAAAAGTTAAACTCTTATATATAAGGGTAATTTTGAAGTAATTTTACTGCAAAGCACAAAATCAAATAAACAAAAGTTTGATTTTTTAAAAATATAAAATAAAATAAAAAATTAGCTTAAAAATTAGCAAGACACTGTTAAAGAATCACTTTTTTTAAAAAATGACTAATAAATATGCAATTTGACCCTGGAAATAAGTAAGATGACCCTGGAAATAAAAAAGGTGACCATGGAAATAAATAGGGTGATCCTGAAAATAAATAAAATGACCTTAAAAATAAATAAGGTGATCTTGAAATAAATTAGGTGTTACTGGAAATAAATTGTAATCTTGGAAAAACTCTTGTAGAGGCTGAAAATTATATTTTTGAAAATATATTATATGAAGGTTGTTAAGATTTTGAATTTTTACAGCATTCAAAAATGCTTATAATTTAGCTGCAGAAGAAAATTCAGAAGTTGAACATCAAGAATGTTTACTTAATACCAAAAATTTATATAAGCCTATGTATAATAATTAAGTATAGAATGTATATTTTTACTACTATAAGAAAATTATTGGCAAACAAAATAAAATAATAATTACAAGGTAAATTATTTTGGGTTTTTATCATGTTTTATAAGATTTTTATAAGATCACAAACAAATTGTAAAACAAGTAATAAATATTATAGTTAAATGTAGTAAATTTTAAAATTGTATCTATGCTAAGGATGTACCGAAATTCCGGCCGGATTTTTTTTTTTTTAATTAATTCGATTTTTTTTTTATGACATGTGACACAGACTGTGTAAATAAATCAAAAAAATCATTCTTCTACAGAGCAATGAAGAACTATAGGTAAATCTAGGTAAAAATACAAATGTAATTTTATTTGCAGAATTAGTAGTACTGCAAATATATTTGCAAAAGTTACATTTATGATTTTTACCTCAGTTTACCTATAGTTCTTCATTGCTCTGTAGGATAATGATTTTTTGATTTATTTACACAGCCTGTGTCACATGTCATAAAGAAAAAAGTAAAAAAAAAAAAATTAATTCACCCAGAAGCGAATTGATGAACAGACAAAAATTCCGGCCGGAATTCTGGTACGTCCCTAATCTACACTCTCATTTTCAGTTTGATCTTGCTTTTCAATATCTTTTCAATAATTTAATCTTTATATCACAATGTTAATTTAATCTTTATTTTAGTTAAGAGGTAATCTTCTAAAGAAGTTATTCTTTATGTTGCTTATACAATTCGTCACTTCATAGCATGTTTATATTTGTTTTTACTTAAATGATAAAATTGTTGTTGACTATGATTTGTGAATACTTTTTTTTCCCTTGAAAATAAATCTTTGTTCATTCTAATCATCTGTTTGATTTTCTTTTTATTACTTATCCAAAATTTCTAACATTCCATCTTGAACCTAATAACTCTCTGACATATGGCACCAGCAATTTTAAACTTTTTTTAGAAAAATCAATTGCTTCAAACTTACCTTTATTAGGCCATAAAACTATAATTTGAAAAAATGCTGCAAGTTTTCTCAATCCTTATCTTATTTTAATTTAATTTTTTAAAAATAAAATTCATTATGAAACAATAAGACTTCATTAGAAATTTTTTTCCTATATGTCAAGATTGAAAAAAAATCATATTTTTAGCTTGAAAATTTTAAATTAATGCATAAAAAATAATAAACCTCTGGAATGTCTTAGTTTAGTTTACGTTTACTTGTTTTTAATGACGCGTTTCTTTGTAATTCTACAAAAATGGCTTTTTGAAAGCAGTTTGTTTATGTTGATATTTCAAACTTATTTTTCCAATAAGATAGCTATTAGTTAACTTTGGATTTTTTTTATTTTTTAGTTAACTTTAATTTTCTTATAAACTATATACTCCTGCTTGAAACAACTCTTCTTCAGCTGACTTGCTAAATGCTGTGATTGAAAGATTTTATTGTGCATTAGGTGGAGGTGGTAAGGCAAGGGCTGTTACTATTGATATATCTAAAGCTTTCGATGAAGTTTCACATGTTAACTTTCTCCACAAGATTGCTTCATATAGTGTATCTGGAAAAGTTTTTGAAATTATCAAATCATTTCTTTATAACTGCTTTATTAAAGTCATCCTCTTAGGCCAACACTTTTCTCTTAGGCCAACACTTTTCTCTTAGGCCAACACTTTTCTCTTAGGCCAACACTTTTCTCTTAGGCCAACACTTTTCTCTTAGGCCAACACTTTTCTTAATTTTCAGTAATTTCTAGTGTATCTCAAGGTTCTATCCTTTTCTTCCTAGGTTCTATCCTTATTCTTATGTTATTTCTTATTTACATTAATGATCTTCCTGACAATCTTACATCTAAAGTGATTCTATTTATTTTGTTTTGACAAAAAGTCTTCTCTTTTTGATCGCTGAGAACAGGCATCTAATCTTAAATCTGATCTAACTTCTGTAGCAACTTGGGGCTTGCAGTGACTTGTAAATTTTAACTCCAACAAACTCAGTTATTTACAGCAAACAACTATTGCAATACTGCCAACATTCCTATATTAATGAATGGTAATCCTCTTACCAAGTTCTCTTCTATATGTCTTCTTGGATTATCATTTACTAATGACCTCTCATGGAAACCATATAATCTATTTTAAAGTTAGCATCTGGTTGCAAAACTCTATAAACCAAAACTCATTCTTGCTTGACTTGTCATTCAGCAAAGTTGTATCTTTTTGCTGTATCTGTCCCTACGTGCTCTAAAAACTTTTATTTATTTAGTTTTTTAAACATGCACTGTTTTTTTTAATGTTTTGTTTGTTCCTTTGGAACTCCCTCCCATTTCATGATTTCCTGACTTAAACAATCTAAAACATTTCTAATTTTTTGTCAACAGTTTCTTTGCTATTTAACTTTGTTCTTTGTTTGTTCTAGTAACTCCCAACTTAATAGTGGTTACTTGCAGCCTTGTTGGGTGTAAATTTGATTAAAAAAGAATTTCATTGAAAAGTTAGCATTTGCTAAATTTTTCTTTCTGTATTGTGCAATCCTTTTTTTTTTTTTTTTTTTTTTTTTTTTTTGTGTTGATTCATTCTCTACATCTATAAACCTCTTTAAATCTCTACCTCTATAAACTTCCTTAAATCTATACCTCTATAAACCTCCTTGAATCTCTACCTCTATAAACCTCTTACTTGTTCTTACTTTAACTGACAAGGTTTCAGCCTCGAGCAAGGTGTTATTTTTTGGTTCAATCTTGTCTGCCTCTATCCCACTATTTCAAGATTTTATAATGTATTTCTGCGATTTTCTTTTAAGTAAATCAGATCAAAGATTTTATGGTTTCTTGCTTTCTCAGTCTGTTTAATTTTTATTTATCTAAAAGATGTATGCAAGTTTAATGAATGTTTAATTTTGATTTTTAAATTGTTTAAATGGATCAAAATATAATTTTGCTAAAAAAATTGAAGTAAACAGAATACAAAATTCTTTCAAAAACATGGTTTCAGCATGCACTCACAAAAATTCTTTTAGTGTTTTGAATCATCTTTGCAGAAACATTCCTTAAACCTAAATTTGATACCTTATCTTATTTTTTATTTTTGTTATTGTTTTAGTCAATGGATGGTCTAGAAGTTATTGGAAATTCTTTAAAGGCTAGTTTAGAAGGTAAGTTACAAGAAAAAAACAAACAAAGTCACATCAATGTTTCACATCAAAGCCTCAAAATCAATTGCAATGAAGAAATAGTCAGCAAAGATTTGTATGTAAAGCATTCTTTAACAAATTTTAGAGTTTTATTTCATCTTTTTTATAGCGACATATCTGCTTTTTTATAGTGACATATCTGCTTTTTTTTTAAAATAGGCATAAAAATATTTCTGGTTCAATTTATAACATCAATACTCAGAAACCAATCTCTGGTCCATCCCTCCTCATTAATGGTCAGTGTGCAAAATATGTTGGTTCTTCGCTAAAGGAGTATAGTGCTGGACTCACAATAAGACTCTTGTTTGAGGCAAAGGTTAATAACTGCCAGACAAATACTATGAACATCATCAACCAAGGAACAACATTAGTGTACTTTAATTGGAAGGTTTGTGCTGAGTTTTTTTCTGTTGTTTTTTTATTTCAATATTTTTCAATAACTTAACCCAAGCTTTTTTTGTTGTTGTTTTACATAATAAAATTAAAGTTTTGACATAGGTATTTTTTAAGTTTATATAGGTATTTTTTAAGCCTGTTTAGGTTAAATTCCATGCGAGGTTTATGACTTTATTGTTGGTTATTTAAATATATTATAAGATAGTTTAAGGTTTAGTATACAAAGTTTTGAAGTGTTTTAATTTTTCTTTTTGATATTTAGAAATTAAAAGAGAAAGATCCTTTTGGTTTAAAAAAAGTTAATTCTAAACAGAAGTTTTATTTTGACATTCATCACGGTATTTTTTTTTTTTTTTTTGCGATTTTATTTTTTGCAAAGAATTTTTTTTGTATTTATAAAATGTAGAAATATAAAATATGACTTAAAGTTTTAAATGTTTGAAAGATACCAATAAAAATGTCTATTGTAATTATAAAGATCGTTACAAATAAATTTAATAATTTAATATATTGGTTTAAATTTATTTTTATAGGTGGCATTTTTTTATATATATTTTATTTTTCGTGTGTATTTTCAGTTTCATTTAAAACTATTTTCAAACAGATAAAATATTAATATCAACAACATTTGCCTGTAAAATGTAAATTATATTTTAATGTACATTTTTAAAAATAATTTTATATATTGAGTTTTTAATAACTTAATGAGTTTGAGTTTCATTTAATTATTTATAACAACTTTAAATGGTTAGTTTATTAAACAGTTTTATTTTTATAAATTTAAATGTGTTTCAGATTCATATCTTGTAATCTAAATATTATAGCGATTTAGAGTGATTTATCAAAATTTATCTAAAAGCAAATAAGTATTTGGCATATTTGGAAAAGTGTTGTTGATAAAATAACAAGAGTCAAATAGAAATAAAATGAGTTATAAAAACTTATTAGTTAAAAAAAGAAAAACATGAAACTTTCAGTTTTATATAGCTTAGTTTTATATAAAAGTATAGTTTAGATGTAATTAGATGTTAGCGATGTTTCATCATTGTTGTTTTTACTCGACTTGCAGTCTACTTGCTACTTGCAGTCTACTTGAACTTTAGAACTGCTTTAGAAACTCAAAATTATTTAACAAGTTTGAATAATGACAAGCAACAAAAAATATTCAATAAGAAGTTTAAGTTGCTTCACTTTAAAGTCATGCTCATGGATGAAAATTCATGCCATTCGGCAATCATCAGCCATATTATTCAAATAAAAAATAAAAACCGTTATGAAAAATACAAATTTAGCATTGCAACGGCATCTGTCATCAATTATACGTGATCCGACATTTGCTAATCGCCGGAATCAAAGTTAGATAGTAAAATTTTTTCCTATGCCTACAAGCAGAAACCAATTCAAAAAAGTGTAACCTTTGCATCAATGAAAAGTATTTTATTATGACTTTTGATAGTCAACTACTACTTAACAAAATTTTTTTGTTAAGTAGTAGTTGACTATCAAAAGTCATAATAAAATACTTTTCATTGATGCAAAGGTTACACTTTTTTGTAGATGGGTTAAAAAATTGGCATCTTTTTTTTATGTTCCACTTAGTTATAAGCATGTTACCCGCGTCTTTAAGTTTCCAGATTTCCTTGGAAAGTTCCGTATCATTCCTATACCTAGTTGCATTAAATGATTTAAGATGGTTTGCAAATCTGAGCTTGAATGTGTTTTCACTGATTCCGATGTAGGATTTTTCGGTAAGACTGGTATTAGGTGAATATAAAGTGGCTTCATATACAATATTTTTTGATAGACATTGATTATTTAATGGGCATGTGGTTTTATTAATGCAGTTGCAGTTTATATCATTATCGGTAAGTTTGTTGCGCAAAATTTGTTGGTTGTGTGAATTAATTATTGATCAAATATTTGGCATACAGCTGTAACTAATTTTTATTGTGTTTCTGTTGAATATTTTGTGGAGCTTATGATGCAATGGAAAATGCAAGTCAATTAAGTTTAAGAAAAGATGTCCAATTTTTGTTATTACATTTTTACTGTAAGGAGGGTTAAACCATATATTTCTTTTTCGTTTATTAGTAATAGAAGAATTTAGATTTGAATGATATTGGAGAATGGTGTGAAATCCAGACTTTTCTAATGCGTCATTATAAATTGGAGCAGTCTTTTGGAATATTTTTTCGCTTGAAAAATTGGAAGATAACCTATGTCCAATTGAGGTTGGTAATTGTTTTAAAATGCTTGGTGGATGGTTGGAATTAGCATGGATATAATTTAACTTACTATCAGGTTTATGGTAAGGTTGAAAAGTATTGTTATTAAGATTAAATGTAACATCAAGGTAATTAACAATTTTTATATTAGATTGAATGGAAATACTGGGGTTGTTTTGTTTAAATATTTGAGAAAAATGCTTCTTAATTTTTTCCATTTTTGGACCGCTTGCGTTTTTAAATACAGCTAAGCCATCGTCTCTATATAATCCAAATTCAGTTTTATTATAAAATTGAGATATCTGAAAAAAAAGAAAAAATACCAACTAATTTGCACACCTCCGCTCCATCAAATGCACCCATGGTAACATCAAACAAACCACCTGATTTTTTAATCCAAACTTGGTCATTGGTAAATAATAAAGATTTACGGGCGTGGAGAATTAAAGATTTATGATCAGCATCAATGGAAACGTATTGTTCCAACCATCCACCAAGCATTTTAAAACAATTACCAATCTCAATTGGACATAGGTTATCTTCCAATTCTTCAAGCGAAAAAATATTCCAAAAGACTGCTCCAATTTATAATGATGCATTAGAAAAGTCTGGATTTCACACCATTCTCCAATATCATTCAAATCTAAGTTCTTCTATTACTAATAAACGAAAAAGAAATATATGGTTTAACCCTCCTTACAGTAAAAATGTAATAACAAAAATTGGACATCTTTTCTTAAACTTAATTGACTTGCATTTTCCATTACATCATAAACTCCACAAAATATTCAACAGAAACACAATAAAAATTAGTTACAGCTGTATGCCAAATATTTGATCAATAATTAATTCACACAACCAACAAATTTTGCGCAACAAACTTACCGATAATGATATAAACTGCAACTGCATTAATAAAACCACATGCCCCTTAAATAATCAATGTCTATCAAAAAATATTGTATATAAAGCCACTTTAGAATCACCTAATACCAGAATTAGTGAAAACACATTCAAGCTCAGATTTACAAACCATCTTAAATCATTTAATGCAACTAGGTATAGGAATGATACGGAACTTTCCAAGGAAATCTGGAAACTTAAAGACGCGGGTAACATGCTTATAAGTGGAACATAAAAAAAAGATGCCAATTTTTTAACCCATCTACAAAAAAGTGAAACCTTTGCATCAATGAAAAGTATTTTATTATGACTTTTGATAGTCAACTACTACTTAACAAAAAAAGTGAATTGGTTTCTGCTTGTAGGCATAGGAAAAAATTTTACTATCTAACTTTGATTCCGGCGATTAGCAAATATCGGATCACGTATAATTGATGTCAGATGCCGTTGCAATGCTAAATTTGTATTTTTCATAACGGTTTTTATTTTTTATTTGAATAATATGGCTGATGATTGCCGAATGGTATGAAACTTTTAGTTCCATCATAAAGTTGTATTTTTTTTACTTAAATTATTTTAATATAATTTGATCTATTTTTTAAAAAAAAAAAGATATTGATCACTCTTAAACAGATAAGAGTTGTATTTCCAGCAGTATACAACATTTATCTATCTATATATATATATATATATATGCCATCTAAAAAAATATATATGCTATCTAAAAATAAGCAAGAGGTTGATGGCTGAAAATAAAATTGTTTAATTTAATTGCTGATAAAAAGTTAAAAAATCCTATTTGTAATTATTTTTTATACAAGTATCATGTAACATGTCATGAAAAACATCTAAACAATTTAAGTATTTAAAACAGTTATCTAAACATTTTTATTTATTTAAAACAATTATCTTAACATTTATAAAATGTATTTATAAAACGGTTTTACATAAAGATAATCTTGTTATATTTGATGCAGGTAATCTGTGGTGCTTGAGCTAGACCGAGCAATGAAAGCCCACTAAGATAAATAATCAAATCAAAGAAAAACAAACAGATGTTTCTCGTTTCAAAAAGGCTCAGCACCAATACCTAGTTTATCCCATGAGATAAATATTATTGCCATTTATGCATTACCCCGCAGTTTACGCCTGCTCCATACTGCAGTAAAAAGGACTTCACTTAAAACAGCCAAAACCTTAACTTCACCCAAATTTGTAAAGCACTAATATTTTTGATGAAGTAATATGGACAGTAAGAGATGTGAGATCAATACCAATTAATATAACAAAATTCAAACAAAATAATAATAATAAAAGTAATAATAATAATAATATATATAATAAAAAAAGATAAATATATAGAATAAAATATAAATAAAAATTTCAACAAAAATAAAAAAAATTGTAGAATAAAATATAAATGATAATGTTAAATAATAAAAATTGTTGTATTATAATAGAAAACCACATAATACTCGATTATACCACTAATGTGGTAAATACTGTTGAATAAAACTTTATTATAAATACAACAACTGGCTTAAATTGGTACTTTTTGGACAAATAAACCCATGTAATAAAACCATATAGTTAATTTAGTTTTTTTAATTTTGTTTTTTTTAAGTCACTTTAATTTTTGCTTCTTTTCTGTCTGTTTTTATCCATTGAAAATATTCTAAATGATTTAGGTGTAATATTGCCTGGGGCAGAACTAAAAATTCCATTTTATTTTAAATCTTCAATCCCTGGTATTTTCTCAGAAATTTGGCATTTTGAAACTCAACCTTTGTTGTGTGATGGTGCCAAAATAGAAGTGGTTCTCAGAGCTATATCCTTTGATAATGTACATAATGAAGAAAAACTGTTGCAATTGGATGTATGACATTATTCTGTTACTTTTTATATTAACATATTTTTTAATTTACTTTTATTTTTTTATTTATTATTTAGTTTACTTATTCTCATGTAGTTAGTACTACACTTTTATTTAGTTAACATGATGTTATTTAAGAACTTTGAGCCAAGGGAAAAATAAAGTACATTAGAACAAGGGAAAAATAAAGTACATTAGAACAAGGGAAAAATAAAGTACATTAGAACAGAGAAGAATTGTTTTACAAACAAAGCATATTTAGACAAAAAAATAAATAGAATTTAGCCAAAAATTAATATTAATGGAAGAATAATTAAAAATATACAGTGACGAAAATACATCCAACAAAAAGTACACTCAATGTAAAGTACACCAAACAGTACTTACAGTTATAAGAAATAAAACTTTTTGAAAATACTTAAAATGAACAAAGATATACAACAAATATTTCACCAAACAAGATCTTACAAAATAAAATATTGACTGCAAAATATTTTTAAATCAAATAATACTGACATAAAACATTGAATGCAAAATTTTCACAGGTGTAAGTGCTTCTAAAAAGAGAAAAGTATTTCATAGCGTGTCTGCACAAATGTGGATAAACTTCTATGTTCATGTATTTTTTATAAAATTCTAACAGCTCAACATCTTTGTAAGCTTCTTTCAAATCTTTATTGCTTTGTAGTTCTATCAATTCCATTTGAAATTCATCTCTTACTGTTTCAACTTTAATGGAAAATGGATGTGAAAATAAGTCTAACTCATTCTTTTTTTCTTTAAAATCACAAAATCTTGTGTCAAATTCATCAATTACTTTTAAAATAAGATAACAATATTTTTCATAGTCAACTGTGTTGGTATTTCTTTCTGACAATGTTTTAAAATGGATAAGTAATTTTTGACTTAATTGTTATTTAAGAAGTTTTAATACATTTTCATATAATTTACTAATAAGTTGATCTTTACTCAGTAACTTGATATTTAATTCCATTAACATCTGAGTTATGTCAACTAAAAATGCCAAATCATTCAGTCAGTCATTATTTTCAAAAAAACTTGTGTCTTTATCTTTAATTTTTAGAAACTTTATTATTTCAGGTATTAATATCCAAAATCTTTTCAAAGTTGCAGCTCGACTAAGCCATCTAACTTGGTAGAAATAAATTACATCTTCTGCCTCACTTCCACAATTCTCAAGTAATTGTTTGAACTGTCTGTGATTAAGGCCACGACTTCTTATAAAATTAAGATTTGGATTACAATTTCCATGACTTGTTTCATTTCTAATACTTTTGAACATAACTGTTCCTGATGTATAATACAGTGATATGAAAGTATGTTATGATTAACAGGTTTCTTAAATAATGCTACAAATCCAATATTTTTTTCTTTCATTAAATTGTTCTATCTGTAGTGACACCAAAGAGTTTTGTTTCTGGCAAATTGAACTTTATCATTGTTTTTTTGATTTCAGAAAGAATATCTTCTCCTTTATTAGTGCCTTTCATGTGCCTGAAATCCAACAATTCTTCAATTATTTCAAAATTACTTGTTATAATTCTAATAAAAATAGCTAACTGAGCTGTATCACCTCTATCTGTTGATTCATCAAGTGCCAGAGTATATGCTTCACGCTTACATAGTTTTTCTTTCAATGCTAATTCAATATTCTTTGATAGATCTTCAACCCTTCTTGCAATGTCTCGTGTGAAAGACTGAGATCTTTAACAAATTATATTTTTTCAGGGCATACCTTATTACAAAATTTTTTTTAAAGAGTTTCTTTTTATTAAATCTCCAGTAGAAAAAGATTTACCATGTTTTGCAATATTTTCTGCAATTAAAAAACTTATTTTGGTATGAGCTAATTTCATTACTTTTCATTAATGATTGTTGCCCAATAAAAAATTTTCTTTTGCAGTTCTAGCTTATCAACACGAAATTGGCCCTTGAATTTATCATAAGTTGCTGCATGTTTTGTAGTATAATGTCTATTAACATTGTAGATTTTGCAAACGGCAATTTTTTCAAAACAAATGAGACGCATAATTGAATTATTTTGCTCCATTACAAAATATTCGTTTGTCTAAAATGGGTTAAGTTTATGACCTCCTTGTTCACTTTCAGTTTCAGCTCTACGTTTTTTATTAGTACTAGCAGAAGCCATATTTAAAAAAAATCAATATAATTAGGGTTCCGCTAACCAAGTAGTTGATACCGTTTTAACAGGTTTTATTAAAAATAAGGTGGTAGTTTAAACCGTATTGCAATAAATTTAAAAAAATCTGATTTTAAAAATTATATTAAAAAACTGCCCTAATCATGAGCTATAGTAAAAATAGTTTTAAAAATATAATATTCATTTGATTTTAAATTTTTAGATATTGAAAACGCGGGCCACGGCAAAAGACAATGAGGGCCATTTTGTGGCCCACGGGCCACGCGTTGGACAACCCTGGCCTATTCAATACTGCAGTAAAAAAGGACTCAAAAATTACTTATTTAATTCTTTTTAGGAAAATAAAAACCAAATTATTTTAATAATATTTTTTTTGTTATATAATTTTGTTTTTTATTGTTTTTCTTGTTGTTTTATTTTATTATTTTTTAACTATGAATAAAAATTTTAGACAGAGTTAAATGCACGCCAGATAAAGAAAATGTCTGAAAGAATTGTATCAGAAATAATTAATGGTGTAAGGACACCACCTCGGCCTGGAAGCCCAATCGAAGAACAATGCCTAACAGTAAGTTTTTGATAAAAAAATTTTCATTTTCTGCTTTCAAAGTTTTTATAAAATCGAAAAGAAAACTCTCAAAAAAAATTCAATCACATCAAAAACAAAACAATAATAATATTTTAAACAAGTATTGATAGAGGTTAGGAAAAATTGGAAAATCTTGCACTTGAACAAAATCATGGAAATTCTCAAAAGCTGTAATTCTTATATCTACTGTCAGAAATAAAAAGAAGAAAGAATTTATCCATTGAACAACTGTCAGAAAGGAAAAGAAGAAAGACATTATCCATTGAACAACTGTCAGAAAGGTTATAAAAAGAAGAAAGACTTAATCCATTGAACAATTGTCAGAAAAGAAAAGAAGAAAGATTTTATCCATTGAACAACTGTCAGAAAGGAAAAGAAGAAAGACTTTATCCATTGAACAACTGTCAGAAAGGAAAAAAAGAAAGACTTTATCCATTGAACAACTGTCAGAAAGGTTATAAAAAGAAAAAAGACTTTATCCATTGAACAACTGTCAGAAAGGTTATAAAAAGAAGAAAGACTTTATCCATTGAACAACTGTCAGAAAGGTTATAAAAAGAAGAAAGACTTTTTCCATTGAAACTCCACTGCCGAAATACAAGCACAAGAACTTTACACCCATGTTTTGACAAAATTAAATAGCTCCATTTTAATAGGCAACAAGACTTACAGAAAACGTGACTTTAGTCAACTTTCTGGTGACAAATATTATGATGCATTATTTCAGAAATATGCAAAAAATTGCTCTTACAGCAAGCAATTTGTAGTTGCTGAACAAAAAGTAGGGCTTTTGTGATGTCATCAACTTTGTCATTGAACAAAAAAGCTCAATACACATGCCCATCTGCTCACAATTCGGGCCCAACTCAAATTCTAGCCTAACTCAACTTAACTGCCCACTATTCTGGTCCATCAAAAATATTGGGGTATTGGCAAAAGATATTTGCTTAAATCAGGCAAGAGTATTAATTCAGTACAAAGTTTGTTGAAGACATTGTCAACCATAATCAAGAAAGCAACAATAACAGTTGTGCAAAAGTTAATGGGCACCATCACCAGTAATGTATGATTATTTTTCAGAAATAAAGAAAAATTTTAAAACTAAAAATATTTTTATACTCTTTAATTTCAATTTTTTTGTAAAAAAACATTTTAATATATTTGAAGTTACTTTTTTCTCAAATTTTAAAATTTATAAAAAAAGTTATTTAAAATTTTTTTAAATCATTCTCATTTTTTTTGATCTCATGAGTTTTCATATTTTATTAATTTTTTTATAATGGAAAAAACTCTTCAAAACAATGCAATTTAGTTACATACAGGGAAAACAGTCCAATTTAGTTACAACCAGGGAGAAGAACAGATTTTAAATTAAGTTAATGCATAGATAATTAAAATAATGCATAACTCAAGACAATGCATTAATAAAAATAAAATAACTTGAGTGCTATCTATGATAATAAATCATTGTGTAATTAAGTCAATCGTTATTTAATATCTTCTAATATGAATCATTAAGTCAATCGTTATTTAATATCTTCTAATATGAATCATTAAGTCAATCATTATTTAATATCTTCTAATATGAATCATTAAGTCAATCGTTATTTAATATGAATAATTTGTAATTAATCATAATGAGTTGTATAAAACTCAAAGTTGCAAATTGATTCAAAAAAATTTTTCTTCAAAGTTTATTTTAACCTAAAGTCAAAGTCTGGGAAAAAAAAATTGAAAAAAATAATATCAGCATATAAAATATGCTTGAATGAGCTAACTAACAAGGATGAGATATAAATAATCCTATAATATATTATTATTGAACTTAATGCTGCTGCTGTTATTGCCGTTATTTAACTCATGGCAGTCATTACAGCCAAGTTCTTGATGAGAAAAAGTTGCAGCATTTTTTAATAAGAAAATGAGAACAAAATTGTATGCAAATATTTAAATGATATAAACTTCAAATTATGCAATGTTAAAAATTAAATCAAGTTTTACGGGTTTACTTTTACTTAAAAATTCCATTGCGACATTATTTCCTTAATTTTGAGTTATAACATTTATTTGCTGTTTTATAAAGTTATACTGGCTTTTGTTTAATAAATTGCGTTAAAAGTAATACTATGTCTTAATATAGTATGTCTTAGTGGCCAAATTATATAGCTTGCTGAGCTTCTAATTTAATTAAATACAAAATAAAACATTTTTAAAGTTCTATAGATGTTATATGCATAATATATATAAAGATATTAAATATTATAGCAAACAAAAGTAAGAGAATTTTTAAAAAAGCTTAAAATTTCTAAAAATATCAAAACACCTAGAGAAATTTGTTGCGCATATGTCATGATAGAGATACTTATGTTATTAATTTCTAGGTAAATTTTTTTAATGTTAATTCACCTCCCTAAGACTCCGAAACACTAATTTTGACAAACTAGGCCAGTGTGCAGAGAAACAAGTAGAATGCAAGTAGAACAAGTTGAATGTGGTACTACCAAAGGCATAGTGGGGATCTAACTTGGAACCTCTTACTTATGAAGCAAGCACTTTATAACTACATCACTACCGCATTAGGTAATTAGTTAAGTCTGCACATTTAACACACATTAAAGAGACTAATTCTTTCTTTCTTAAGGAAAAAAAGATTTTCCATTCAAACTTTTATTTTTTTCAAAATTAATTAATGGGGTGGGGTCCTAATAAGCAGCACATGGTCTGAAATAAAATTTAATAGAAACTTAATAGAAAAAAAAAATTAATAAGCTTACCCCAGTTTTTTTTAAAGAAATTTTATAATTTTACAATTAGAAGTTATAAAGTTAAATTAAACATTAATTGTTATCTTAAAACAAAGGTTTTAAAGATTTTTACTTTCTACCACTTTATTTATTTTCTACCACTCACTAATAATTATTGAAATAGAATGACTATATAAAGAATAAGTATAGAAATGGTTGGTGTGGAATACAGTCCAGTGCTCTATATATTTTAAATTTCCAAATGTTTTTTTTAAACTTTTTATACCAAATTTAATTATTCAACACATTTCAAACTTTCTAAATATTATTTCAAGTATATCTGAACCATCTGAATTTCTAAATACATTTCAAGCATTCTCAATATTATTTAGATGATTACTAATATCTGAACCACTAATAAATAGCAGTTTATGCAATTTTTTTTAACTTATATTATGATATTTTTTTTTTTTATTAGTTAAAAAAGTAGACAATGTGTAGAGTTTTTCTATACATTTATATTTAATTATTTTTTTACTGCTTACTGAAAAATATTGAAGTAAGGAATAAGTATAGAAATGGTTGTTGTGGAATAGACTTACCAAAACTTGCATTTTACGGGTCCGAACAGCTAGTATTAAATATTATAAATATATATTATAAATTGTAAAATTATTGTTGTTAAATATTTAAAACTGTTATCAATTTTAAATAATTATTTTTCTAGATAGAAGAAATGTTCAACAAAGTCAATCCATCGGTATTTTGATTATTTATTTGTTGAGTTTAGATATATTTAAAATATTTTTTTATATATTTTATAAAACATAATTACATTTTATATTTTTGATAATTTTTATTTTAATGAATAAAATTAGTGTTTTCAGCATTTTGATTTATAGATATCTTACTGTGTAAGTTCATTCAATGTGTTAAATGATCTTTATAAAGAGATTGATACTGAAAATTCTTGGGATTTTTCTATAAATACAATATTTAAGGTAAATATCTTAAAAGCATTAAATTTTTTTTTATTTGTCTTTAAAATATAATTTTTAAATTATACTGACATTTCTTAAGCAATTTGTAAACTTTTAATTTAAAATAAATTGCTAAAAAAAGTAAAATAAAAACAAAATATATTTAATCTTTTTTTTTTTTTTTTCTTTTTTTTTTTGTAATAAAAAAGATATAATGAGCTTTGAAAATAAGATTGAAAGATCTTATATAATCAGATATAAAGTATATATTTGTATTACTTTTTTGTTATGAATCAAAAAGTATTATGAAAATGATTTGAAACATTTTGAATGTAGTTTATTATTATATTGTTTTTTTATTTTTTAGCATATTTCTAGCTCTATAGACACCAATAAAAAAGAAGAATGGTTTCGACGTCTAAACAATGAAATATGTAATATGAAAATAAAAGCTAAAGTTCCTTTATCTCCTTCAAAATATAGTTGCTGGTAGAAATTTTTTTTTTATACTTTGCTTATTTACATTTGCTACTTAGGTTTTCTAAAAGCTTAATGGGATTTAAATAAAGCACTGCTGTAAGGGAAATTTCCCATAAGACAGTGGCGCGTACCCCTAGAAGCTATGCAGGAATCCCGCATGGGGCTTAAGCTTTTTACCTTATAAAGACCTTTTGGAAAAAAAGTTATTTTACTATATCTTTTAAATGATCAGCAAATAGTTTTTTATTCACTTTATTTATGTTCAAATATCACAAATTAGTTTTTTTAATTATCTGAATTAAAGTGTTAAACTTTTTGTGCTAGCATACTAGTATTTTGCATAATAAAATGCAAACATTATCTAACGTCAGCCTAAAAATAATAACAAAATTTTTTTTTTATTATGTCAATAAGTCACTTTTAACAATGCAATCAATTTAAAAAAACCGCATCAAGGTAAATCAGTCAGATGAAAACTAGCAATCCTGAAATTGTTTAATTAAAGGTATTAACTATCGCTGATTTTCAAGTATAAAAAAAAATTACTTGTAAATTAAATAGTTTTTTCAATTAAAATATTTTATCATTTATTTTTAAATTTAGTTTTAATTTAATTATTGCTTGTTTCGTTGACTATTGTATTATTTAATTGCTATAGAGTTAAACCATTTAATAACCATAGAGTTAAAATGTCAAGTTTTTAATTTAACCTTTTTATGTGGTCAAAATATTTTCAAAATGATAAACAATGATTAAAAAAATTTACTAATCTAAAAAAGTTTTTTTACTAAATCTATCTTTGTAAAAACAAAAAAAAATTATATATTATTAATTATTAAAAAAAATTGTGCCATTTAAACATATAGATATAGTTCCCCAAACAAAAAAAATTGCTGTTAGACTAATTAAAGTTTCGTTTTTTTTTAATCGTAATTCAGTAATCCGATTACTGAATTACTGAATTTTTATGCAATTATCACATAAAAAGTTATTTAAAAAGGTGATTTCAAACCAAAAATTTTTTTGAAACAGCAAAAGAAAAAAAAATGGAGTCTAATTTATGCTTTTAAATGTTTAGTATGAACGCAAATACAGTTTTAATTGTTTTGTATGAACAAAATTACCAATAAAATTATTTCGTATAACCTTTCTTGTTTTATTTAAAACAGTTACACACTGTTTTCAGAACAAAAGTGAAACACAAAGATTTTCTAGATTTACAAGTTATCAGGCAAATTTTTATTTTAAATAAAACTTGATATATATTAATTATAATATTAATAAAGTTTTTATAGGTTCTGGATTATGTATTGTTCAGTTACTTAACATTATAAAAATATTTCTTGACACAAAATATTATTTTAGCAATTAACCGTCGGGCCATAAAAATTATCCATTGATTTTTCTACTATCTCGAAAATTATCCATTAATTTTTCTATGTTCTCCTAAACATTTGACCATTGTCTGAAATCTATCATTACATTTTTAAGTAATAATATCAATGTTGATCTTTTCATTATGTAATATAATGCTATTTAGTTCACTCCAAGTTAAATGTCAATATAAAGTGTAGCGTTTTATATATTTATGGGCCTTCAAATCAAGCATATATGATAAGATCTAACATATATAGACCTTTTTAGAAAAATCCTACATAGACATTTTGGACCCAGCATGCCACTGCCATAAGGGAGGTCATCATTTTTAAAATTCCATAGTTAAAATACTTTCTTTTTTCTTTTAAAGTAAAAAAATAGAATACTGTTGCATTACTTTTTAGTTGAAATATTGCTGTAAAAAAATTTTTTTTTAATATTATATACTGTTGCTGTGTTATATTTTATAAGTTACAAATTTAATATTATATATGTAATTTTTTTATTCTATTGCAGTTTTCTTGCTATCTTTTAGCTACAATATTGTAAGCTTGTGGATTCACTCATTTGTTATCTTTTAGCTACAATATTGTAAGCTTGTGGATTGACTCATTTGTTATCTTTTAGCTACAATATTGTAAGCTTGTGGATTGACTCATTTGTTATCTTTTAGCTACAATATTGTAAGCTTGTGGATTGACTCATTTGTTATCTTTTAGCTACAATATTGTAAGCTTGTGGATTGACTCATTTGTAGCAAAATCAATTGATTTTCGTTCTTCTCTTGGATTAAAGGAGAAACAAATCACAATCAAGTTTGAAAGCGGTAATTTACTTGTTTTTATGTTTCAGAACTTTTTGAATTGAATTGAATTTTATTTAAAAAAAAAATTTTATAAACTATTTTAGTAAATTTTTTATTTGTATTTCTATACTATCAATAATTAGTGTTCTAATGTTTTATGAATTCTAGCAAATAGTAATGATTATTTAACTGATATGTATCCAGACGAAAACATAAACAATTCTTATAACTAGATTTAAATGTGAAAAAGATATTAGAAGTTTTGAAGCCAGAGATAAAGCCAGAGATAACAAATGTTAAAAAAGAGTCTGGCACACCAGTCAGTAAAACGCCAAAAGAAAAACAAAAAAGTAATTTTTTTGTATGTTGCCAATATAGTTTATGAAAATTCTAGTTAATATTTATTATAATATTAATTTTAATAATTTATTAGAAGTTAATGTTGTTAAAGAGGAAGAAATAAAAGTGGTAAAAGTTGAACCTACCTACACTGAAATGGTTAGTCTCACAAATACAATAATGTAACATTCAAAAAAAATGCAGTCACATTCATTGTTATAATTTTAACAATTGGATATATAAATTTTGTTACCAAGTATAAAAATTCATACAAGCTAGCACATTTGAAATATGTATGTAACTTAAAATATTGATAAAACAGTATTTTATTACTCATCATAAATCAACTAAGCTACTTACTTATAAATCAATAAATGTTATATTTAGATTACAGCTATTATAAATGTTATAATATTTTTAATAAACAAATAATAAATAATATTTTTAATAAACTGAATAATAATAAAAATTAGTTGAATCACAAATAAGCACAATAACAATATTATTTATTTAATATGTTTCAATTGTTAATGATTTCAAATTACTGAAAAATCACTACAAGATAAGTAAAAGTTGGAGGAGTAACTATTAAAAAATCATAAGATAAGTATAAGTTTGAGGAATAATTTTTAAAAAATCACTACAAGATAAGTATAAGTTAAAGGAGTAAATATTAAAAAATCACAAGATAAGTATAAGTTGGAGGAATAACTTTTAAAAAATCACAAGATAAGTATAAGTTGGAGGAGTAACTATTAAAAAATCACAAGATAATTATAAGTTGGAGGAGTAAATATTAAAAAATCACAAGATAAGTATAAGTTGGAGGAGTAACTATTAAAAAATCACAAGATAATTATAAGTTGGAGGAGTAAATATTAAAAAATCACAAGATAAGTATAAGTTGGAGGAGTAAATATTAAAAAATCACAAGATAAGTATAAGTTGGAGGAATAACTTTTAAAAAATCACAAGATAAGTATAAGTTGGAGGAGTAACTATTAAAAAATCACAAGATAATTATAAGTTGGAGGAGTAAATATTAAAAAATCACAAGATAAGTATAAGTTGGAGGAGTAACTATTAAAAAATCACAAGATAATTATAAGTTGGAGGAGTAAATATTAAAAAATCACAAGATAAGTATAAGTTGGAGGAGTAAATATTAAAAAATCACAAGATAAGTATAAGTTGGAGGAATAACTTTTAAAAAATCACTACAAGATAAGTATAAGTTGGAGGAGTGACTTTTAAAAAATAATAACTTTAAAAATAATTTAATCAATCAAAATGAAAATAAACTTAAAATAGGCTTAAAAATTATATTTAGAAAAGATCAGCCCAACACATAATTAAAAAAACACTAAGCATAGCAATTACTAATCTAGTTGACATCCTAAACATAGGACATAATTAAAATAAATTTTTTATTTATTAAACATTAGATATAATTCAGAAATTTAATGCATATGGTATAATAATATTTTTATTTTTTGTAAGTTATAGTTGCAAAAGATGTTATTTTAAAAATATTTAATTGTAAAAACATATTTAGTCATTAAAAATCACTACGATTCTTAAACATTAATATGAACCTTTTCTATACTCAAAATTTTTTTTATTTTTACATTTACAATATAAAGTTTTTTATTTTTATACAATATATTTAAAAATTTAGTATATTTGATTTTTCATGTTTAGTTATTGACTGTGACAGCTGAAAAGAATTTTGATGATCCAAAGTATAAAAGATATTTACAATATCTTTACACTGAGGTGATTATGCTTCTATTTTATTTATGTATATTATTTATATTTCAAACCTTTTTATTTTTATTATTATTTTTTTTTTTATCTTTTTTTTTTTTTTTTTTTGAAATGTTGTGTTTATAGATATAAATAAGTTGTTTGTTTTTACCTTTTTAAAAATATTTATTTATATACTAATTATTTAAAAATATTTATTTATATATTATATATTAATTGAAAAAAGATTTTATAAATTTTAGTCTGTAAAAATTATGTTTATGCAGTTCTTGTTAAGAAGTTCTATTTTATATACAAAAACTTTTGTTTACATACGCATTATGTCATTTTTGTTATGCCAAAACTGTTGTCTTTTGGAATATTTAAACTTTTGATATTAATACTGTTGTGATATTTTGGATGGTTCTTCAAATGATTCCCTTATGATTTTCTCTAAAAAAAGTGGTAAATGTAATTGGACTTGAAAAATATTGTGAGATGGATAAAAGTAAAATAATAAAAAAAGTAATATTAATAAATGAATAAAAATGATGTTTATAACAGGAGAGTTGTTAATTTCGGGAGTCTGAATAAATGCAAATTTCATAAGTACAAAGTAAGTGGTGTAAGTGCAATGTGTTGCAAGAACCGGTATAAGTGCAAATTGGCATAAGCGCACCAAATAAATTTGCAAACATTGGCAGTTACAAAAACTGTCACAAGTGCAAACTGTCATAAGTGCGCCAAAAGAATTTGCAAACATTGGCATAAGTGTGAACTAGCCACTGCTTGATTCTAAGGGTTTTATGTTAAATTTCAAAATACATGAGGTTTTTCTTCAGATTCTATTAATATTTATATGCTGGAATGTGTTGAAAATAAAGTAAGTATAATAAACTAAGCTTTTCTTCTTAGTCCAAAATTGATATTTTCTGAAATCCAGAAAATAGTGTTTAAAAAACAGTATGATTTTTATTATTTTAGCTTTCTTTTATTATAAATATCATAAAAAACCACACAACAACCCATTATCTTTGTCTTTAAAATGTGGTTAATTTAATATATAATAATATTTTTAATGGTTTGACAACTTTGTGGCTCACGTGCTACTATAATTATTTTTTTAGGTCTGTTCTATACATTACAGGTTTCAAAGCAAAATATAATGCATAGAAAACAATTTTTTTTTTTCAAATTAAACAATGAGTTCATATATATTATATAAATTAGTTAAAAGAAGTATTTAATTATATATATATATATATATATATATATATATATATATATATATATATATATATATATATATATATATATATATATATATATATATATATATATATATATATTAGGGCTGTTCATGTGAACACAGGAAAAAAAAAAATTTCTTGGATTTGAATGCATAGTTGTTTATTTTGTGCCATTTGACATAGTAATTGACTGTGTAAAAAATCTTTCCAATCAGATAATGTTTAGGGGGTGCTCAATGACCATAAAGTTTTACGAAAAACGTCAAAAACGTGGAAAAAGTTCCAAAGTTCCAAAAATTTCTAGAACCTGGTTAGTTAGATTTTTTCCACTGAAATATTGTCTGATTGCGTGCTATATAGATTAATTAAAGTGCAGCAGATTAACTGTTATCAGGGCACCAGACTAAAAAATGTCTGCTAGTGTTTAAAACAACTGTGTTTATATCATTTTGTTAAAATTTGTATTCATAATTTTAATACTATTATTTAACTCAATTTAGAATTTGTTCAAACAGAATAAAAAGGTTTACAAGTATAAATATTATTTTTATTTGGAATTTCAGTTTGACAACAAATGTATTAATATTTTGATAGTACCTAACCTTAGTAACCTATTACAGAAAACTAGCATGGTAGTCTGGTAGTGTATTGTTTGTTATTAAGTGCAGATAATAATAATTTCTAATTTGAAAATATTTATTTAATTTCTTTAGTAATAATTATTATTATATATTGCTGCAGCTGCATAAACCAACAACTGAATGATAAGTTTGTATAATATGGTATTGAGTTTTGATTTTCTCATAATTTTTCAGTTATCATTGAAATGGCAGCATCATCTCGTGTTGCTATCTCTACACGACTTCAAACCGAAATCTTTTTAATTGGACAACCAGAGCCAAATCTTACAGATAAAGTTCTTCCCTTAACATCTGATGTTTTAAAAACATTTTTTTATCATCTTAATTCAACCAAAAAGTCAGTGCCTGAAAGTCTTAAAACAACTGTTGATGAACTGATTATTATTTGGAATAAAGCCCGTATTCCGACAGCATTTCATCCGAATGTAGTCTTAAAGTTAAAAAATTTAGTCCAGGAATTTAAATTAATAAAAAAAAAAAAAATCCAGATTGTCAGATTCTCAGAAATCAAGAGAGAAATCATTTACAGACACTATTGGCCTACTTTTTGACATTGCCCACAAGGATGCTGAAACCATGATCAGAATTGAAGAAGATAAAGAATTTTTATTGGATCAGAGATGTCAGAGAAAAATGGTGATGTTTGGAGAGGACAAAGAACTTTCAAAATTAGAAGCAAGAAATGAAGCAAGGAAACAAGCAGAGAGAGAACGAAAGCTAAAAGAAGAGCAAAGACAATCTGGTGCGAGTGCAATAGTTCCTGTTATTGAACCTTTACATGACGAAAGTTATAGTGATGACAACGATAACGATGCTGTTGATAATGACAAAATGGTTGATAGAGATTTTGAGATAGAAATCCCTGTTTATTACAGACAACAAGTCAGTAAAGCAAGTTCTTCAGGGTCAGCTGAATCAAGTTTAGCAAGTACTCCAAAACGACAATGTATCTTAGATACAATTCTTGACTCGCCTGATGTTTCATCAACATTAGACAGAATTAATCTATCTGACACAAAATTTACTATACTAGCAGCAGCAATTGCAAGGGCTGGTGGACAGAACCTCGATGATGGATCATTGTCACGTTCTACAGTCCGTAGAAAACGAACCTATCATCGATCAAACATTGAAATAATAGAGAAGCAAAAAATGATTTCCAACATGAAATTTCATGGTGAGAACTGGTCTGAAAGGTTGATCAAATTAAAGAACATTGAAAGTCTAGAGAAGAAATCTCTGGACATGCTGGTGACATCAGTTTCAGCAAGTGCGTTGCGGTCAATGAAGGTTGATATTGATTTTCTGTTCAACAACGATCCAGCTACCTGGAATGATTCCCCAGAATACCAAGAAGGAAAAAATTTAGTATATTCATTGAAAGTAGTAAATGATGCTGCCAAACGATCTGTGGCTTTAATGTCGATGTTTAATGAATCGATTACAAGGAATGAATCTGAAATGCAGAGGTTAATTCAGGTGGTTGAGGATCACAGAAAGCGAGTGCCAGATGCCAGAAGTGGATGTGGATTGTAATTTGTATTCAGAATTTAATATTTAGAGATAATTAAAACTGATCAAATCTGAAAAATCTAATTAACCGGGTTTTAGAAATTTGTGGAACTTTGTTACTTTTTCCATGTTTTTCACATTTTTCGTAAAACTTTATGGTCATTGAGCACCCCCTAAACATTATCTGATCGGAAAGATTTTTTGCACAGTTAATTAATATGTCAAATGGCACAAAATAAACAACTATGCAATCAAATCTAAAAAAAAAATTTTTTTGACAGCCCTAATATATAGATATATATATATATATATATATATATATATATATATATATATATATATATATATATATATATATATATATATATATATATATATATATATATATATATATATATATATATGTATGTATATATATTTATATATATATATATATATATATATATATATATATATATATATATATATATATATATATATATATATATATATATATATATATATATATATATATATATATATATATATATATATATATAATTGTTACCTGTTCTAAATTTTTGCAGGGTTTTAATGGGGGTGTTACCAGCATTATTTCATCCAATAATTTGAGAACTTTACCACAGTTTGGTCCATTCAATCTGCCAACAAAGTTCCCGTGGCCCATTACTGTATTTTTGTAAAATACAGTAATGGGCCACGGGAACTTTGTTGGCAGAAAAAAGGATTTCAGGCCCTCATTGACAATAAGAACATCAACAATTTTTGTTACAACATACTCATACATGTGAAGTTCCCGAAGAGGGATGGTATCAAGAATAAATTTTCAGGGATTTTCCACAAGCAAACATGGGGTAAAAATATTATTGAACAATTTGATTGTCTTATAAGGATATCCTGCATCATGGTATCAATAGTAATCTGAAGTTAAGGAGGTAAAAGTTCTCAAACCGCCTAATGAGGTAGTTATTTATTACAAGTACAATAACAACAAGCTACCATGACTCTATAATAAATTGTTTTGTTATTTTAAGATTTAATTTTTAAATAGATACTTGTAAAAATTATTTAAATAAAATGTAAGTCAAAATCTCTAACTGATACATCTAAAAGTTTAATGTTAATGTTTATGAGCTTTAGGTCAGAAGCCACAAAAAAGTTGAGCTGATTTAGATTAATTAATTTTATAAACATTTAAAGATTATGGTTATTCTCCTTGAAATTATGTACGAGCCAGAATTATCATCTTGTTCAATCCTGAGTATTTCTCATTTCTAATTTGGTCATCTAACTTAGCTATATCAAAAATATTCATTATTACCTGAAAATTGATTACAATTGAATAATAATTCTAATATAAAAATAGTCAAGTTACTAAACCTTCAGCGAACCCTGTCCTCTAATGTTCCATTGCCGTAGCAATTGAATTCTTTTTAACACCTAAACTATGTGAGTTATGTAGATTATGTGAGTTATATTAACTATTATAAATTTTTTGAAATTAAACTAATATACTGCTGTTTAAATTAAATTATAAAATAATAAAATAACTAGATGACCAAGACTTACTTTTCATAAATCTCTAAGAATATCACGAACCACATTTTCAGGCATCATGGTTTTTCTTGATATCAAGTATCAGTAGAGACTACTTTATTTGTTTGGAATTTAAGTTTTAGTACTGCAGGTAGCAGTGAGCCTCCTAAGTTATTAGTGAAACTATTAAAGGTATTATGATATATTAGATTAACCACATTTTGAAGACAAAGATAATGGGTGGTTGTGTGGTTTGTTATGATATTTATAATAAGAGAAATAAATAAAAATAATAAAAACTTTTTTTGAAACACTATTTTCTATTTTTCGGAAAATATCAATTTTGGGCTAAGAAGAAACAAGATTTTATTTTCAACACATTCCAGTTCATACATATACATATTAATAGAATCTGAAGAAAAACCTCATGTCTTTTGAAATTCAATTTAAAACCCTTAGAATCAAGCAGTGTGGCATATGTGCGAATCAGTTACAAAAACTGGCATAAGTGCAAACTAGCATAAGTGCGAATTAACATAAGTACGCCAAACAAATTTGCAAACATTGGCATAAATGCGAGTTGGCGTAAATGCGAATCGGCATAAGTGCGCCAAATAAAGTTGCAAATATTAACTCAAGTATAAATTGGCATTTCGCACTTATGCCAATTCACACTTATGCCAGTTTGCACTAATGCTAATGTTTGCAATTTTTTTTGCGCATTTATGCCAGTTTGCACTTGTGCCAGTTTTTTTTAATTTTTATTCTAATAGGCTAAAGCCATATGATGAACTTTTTAAATCTATAAAATATTGTTTATGTTTTTAGATATACAATTCTTTAGGCCTAATGGCAGTCGATTTAGAATTACTACTTTTATAAATTCTTCATCTTCAACATTTTGATAAAAGCAGGTTTATTTATAGAAAGATTATGTGAAATATTTTCTTTTTGATTTTTGCATTTTAGTTGTAATTTCTTTAATTTTTTCAAAATATATTTGTAATATTAGTTATTAGTTTCTTGAATAATAATAATTAATAATTAATATTGAACAATAATAAATATTTAATAATAATAAATATTTATTGTTTAATATTTAGAATTGAAAGTTTAATGATATATTAATAAAAGTTTATTAAAATGTTAATTTTTTATCAGAGATTTTTTTTTTTAACTTTTGTAATTGAAGATTAAAAAAGTTCAAATATATGTTTACCTAATTTCTTTTTATATACATACGATAAAATATTTATTACATATTTATACATACAATAAAATATTTTTATATACATATGATAAAACAGTACAGTTAAAGTAAAAAGAGAAAAAGTTTATGTTTACCCAACTTCTTTTTATTTTACAATAAAAGTTGAAAAGTTTAAGAAACTGAAAAGTTGAAAAATTTAATCTCAAGTTTCAAAACATCTCATAACATGTTCATAAAAATATTCACACCCACTACACTACTTCCGTTGAACGATAGATGATATATATATATATATATATATTACTTATGACAAAAGTTTAATTGGGTTGATTAATTATACATTTTTCACACTTCATAACTAATTATTATATTTAACTACCAATTTAAATGATAAATATGGTGAGTGCCTGTGATTCTTAAATTTAAATGATAAATATAGTGAGTGCTTGTGATTCTTTAATTATTTTAAAATTACAAAATTATTTTAAAGAATTATTTTAAAAAATAATTAAAAAAAAAAAAATTGTTTAATTACAAAAAAGTATTTTAATTGCTAAAAATTATCTAAAGAATAACTGCAATAATTTAATTTCAGTTTGTTAGCAAATGGGCAGAAAAGCAGTGTCAGGGAGCATCAAATGAAAAATTATTGGACTGGACTTAGTAAACTTATGGGTGTTTCTGAATTTTGCGTGCAAAAAACAGTGAAAACCTAGAAGCAGACAGGTAACATTGTTGACATGCTTCATTCTGGAAGACCACTGAAGCTTAGTTATTGTGACAAAAGTAGCATATTCAGAACCAGTAGAGAAAATCCTAGGCTCTAAAAGGCAACAAAAAGCTCAAATATTCAGCCAATCCATTTCTAATCAAAAAGCAAAAAACTCCTTAAAAGAGCATTAAAAAGAGCAAAAAAGGTATTGGATTTGCAATAAAAAAAAAAAAAAGGTATTGGATTTGCAATAAAAAAAAAAAGGTATTGGGTTTGCAATAAAAAAAAAAGGTATTGGATTTGCAATAAAAAAAAAAAAAGGTATTGGATTTTACATTGCAATAAAAAAGCCTATCCTGTGCGCTATTTACATCCAAGGCGACAAGTTGGAGGAGGCTCAGGAAGCGTTTGTGGATGTTTTCCTGCAAAGATCTTGATATTTGTGAGCTTATAATGGCCATATAAACCAATATATTTATAAAAACACACTTGAATTATAACATATATGATGATTGATAAGGCAATTGTATGGCAGAAGCTAGCAATACATCTTCCAGCAAGGCGGGGCTGCAGCACACACTGCACATAGAATAACACACTGTTTTAACACAAAGAAGATCAATTTGTTGCCTTGGTGATCTATACCATAGATCACCAGATATCAACCCAATAGAAAATATTTGGTCATAGATCAATACTTAATTGTTAAACCATCAAACTCAATCAACTGAATATTTGAAGCAACTTTTGAATGAATATTGGTTTAAAGTGCCACATAAGATGTGTGTGAAATTGATTAAATTAATGCAGAGATAAGTTTTTCTTTGCTATCAAGCCAAAGGAGGACACTTTAAATATTAAGTTTGTATATATTTTTTTATTTTTATGTTCTAAACCTTAACTCAGTTAAACTTTATGCAATTCATTTTATAATTATATAATTAATTATTTAATTTTTTTGAACTATTTTTAATGTTTATTGAATAGCTAATTGATTGTTCTTTTAAAGGTAAGAAAAATTTAATTAAATATATTTTCCTGATTTTTTTTAGTTAAAAAAACCCTGAAAATTTTGATTGAAATAACTACCATCTCGACTAAATTTTTGTATATACCTGTATATATATATATAATATATATATATATATATATATATATATATATATATATATATATATATATATATATATATATATATAGTGAAAACTAAATAATTATTAAGACATATTTCAATTACATAACTAAAAGTTTCACGCAATAGCGATCATCAGATGTAACAACAATAAAAAGTCTTTTTATTGTTTTTACAATAAAAAGTCTTTTTATTGTTTTTACAATAAAAAGTCTTTTTATTGTTTTTACAATAAAAAGACTTTTTATTGTTGTTACATCTGATGATCGCTATTGCGTGAAACTTTTAGTTATGTAATTGAAATATATCTTAATAATTATTTAGTTTTCACTATACTATTTGCTCTACTAATTATATAAAACGCTGTATTGTGCACTCTTACTGGAAATATTAACATAATTCCTACAATATATATATATATATATATATATATATATATATATATATATATATATATATATATATATATACACACACACCCATATATATATATCAGGCTTGGTCGGGAAACGGGAGCGATTGCCTTCGATTGCTGACATCGTAAATAATATTTAGTTGCAAAAAGCTGGCCAGATTTTTAGTCGTTTTGAGAACATTTTAAAAAGCAAAAAAAAAAAAGCGATGAAGATTGATTGGACCGATGAGAGACAATTACAAAAAAAAAAAAAAATTAGGCAAATAAAATATCTTTAAACGCGAAAAAACTTAAAGCTAAATAAATTACATTTAGAACAAATATTTTCGAAACATCGCTCTTTTATAAATTTTTTTATAAAATTAGGCGATGTTTTTTATATAAAGTAACAACTTACAATTGTTTAAAAGGGAAATAAATATTCTTTATTTAACTTAGTTTGCAAGTTTTAGTTTTACTTAAGCTAAATTATTTTATAAATAAAAAAGTTAATTTTTTTAATACCTATTTTATGTTTCGAGTAGTTTGAAAAGTTTAACATATTTGAAGCGATTCTTCTTAGTAAGATAAACAAATGAAATAATTAAATCATTGAATTACTATAGGAATTAAATTATCAAGATAGAAATCAACTAAAAAGGTTAAAAATACTTAATGACCAGGAAGCGAAACTGCTTCACAATATCGCTGATGATGTTTAGTGAGTGGGCTTTTTAATTTTAAGTAGTATTTAAAGCAGAAAAAAGTATAACAAGTTTTAAGAATGGCAACTTAAGCGAAAATAATTAGAGTAAGTAAACCAATATCTAGAAACTTTTCTTTATATCTAATTATTTGCTATATATATTTGTGTTCTGTCGTGACCTCAGGTGCGATGCTTGTTCATCCGCGAGTTACTTTGTATGCGTTGTTTGTGTTTAATAACCAGAAACTATTTATATGTTTGTTACATAATTAGTTTTATTAACTTTAACGATGAAGTTATCATTGAAAACGCAATTATTTTTGTAAGTTTTTGTTTAAATCATAAAAATTGCTTTAAAAGATACATTACGATAAAAAACAAATACACAAAATTACATTTACATAAAGAATACTATCTCTTTTAAAATAAAAAATAAGAATATACTAATAAAATCTATGATTTATAATAAACTTTTAAAATTTTAACAATTTAATCAATATATATTTAAAACATTTATTTATGTAAACAAATAATATATATTCTTAAAACAATGCTAGAAATCTCAAAACGTAACAAATCGTGAATGATACAATTTCTAAAACATTTTAACAGAATACTCTAGAACTTTATTTCGCTTAATCAGCGTATTTTTTGAACCAATAGAATTAGTTTGTTCGTTAATTTGGCGGGTTTTTAGTGTTCACAAATATTCTTTTTATTCTTTTGCACAAAGATGTTTTGAGAACATTCAAGTTTTTTATGTTTCCATGTATGTCCGTAAAACAAAAATTTTTTGTTTCGTACATAAACTTAAATGTTCTCAAAGCGACTAAAAAATCCTGGCCAGTTTTACGCAACTAAATATAATTTCCGTGGTCACTATTCGAGAGCGATCGCTCCCGCTTCCCGACCAAGCCTGATATATATATATATATATATATATATATATATATATATATATATATATATATATATATACACGCACAGTATGCAAAAAGTGCTAAGACCATATCTTTTTGTTTTTACCAAATTTCTGTACTAAGCAGGTAAAGTTTTAACAAAAAATGTAAGTATATTATTGGATATCTATATCAAGATTTTGGAAACAAAGTTTTTTTTTTTTTTTTTTTTTTTTTTTTTTTATGAAAGTTTAAAAATTTAGTTAAAAATCTATGTCAAAAAAAATCATACAGTTCAAAATATTAATATATTGTTGGTACCAGCAATTTTTGGCATAAAGTTGTTTCAAGCTGGAGTAGATAGTTTATAAGAAAATAAGAGTTAACTAAAAAATAAAAAAATCAAAGTTAACTAGTAGCTATCTTATTGGAAAAATAAGTTTGAAATATCGACATAAAAAAAGCGTTTTAAAAAAGCCATTTTTGTAGAATTGCAAAATGCGTCATTAAAAGTAAACATAAACAAAACTGAAAATTACTGAAAAGTACTGGTGCCTAATATATACTCTTGCTTGTTCATCTTTAATTTTTCCCATGTATATATATATATATATATATATATATATATATATATATATATATATAATATATATATACATATGTATGTATATGCATATATATATATGTATATATATATATGTATTATATATATATATATGTATATATATATATGTATTATATATATACAAAATATATATATATATTCACCTTGTACAGAAAGTTTAAACGCGCTTGTTTTTTTAACTTATTTTATACTTTTAACAAATGATAACCCGATAAATTGATGAGATATGCTCTGTATTTTTATGTTTATTTATACTATGGCTATTATTTATTTGTTTAGATATAAAAAAAATTTTATAGGTATTATAACGGATGTGGAGAGTGATGAGAAAATTAACAGAGTAATTAACTTAATTCGCAGTTTATAAAAGCCTTTGTTGGCGTTAACCGATCGCCATAGGCAAAAAAAAATGGTGCAAAGAGCGTTTAAATTATTCAGTAGAACAACGGACAATAATTATCGTTAGGAACAAATCAAATTTCGAAATTATTAACAGAAAAAATAAGAGATTTATTTGTTGCAAAAATACAGAAAAATATTTGAAGCAACATCTATTAAGCAGTATTCAAAAGGGTGGTGGTTCCGTCGGCATCTGGGGATGTATATCAGGCTCATGCTTGGCTGTCATAAAATATACGAAAGAAGATTAAACCAGTATAAGTATCATGACATTTTGGAAAATGTGCTATCCCTAGTTGCGATTTGCTCCATGCTGATCAAAATTGGTTATTTCAACAAGACAATGCTCCATGCCATACAGCACATTTAATCACTGATTATTTCCTTAAAAGTAATATTTGACTTATGCCTTAGCCAGCACAATTACCAGACTTGAACCCAATTGAAAATTTATGGAGCTGGATGGATTATTAACAAACAAAAAAGCAAATAACTAGTCACAAAATGCTCAAACAAGAACCAAACTGTGGCTTGAAATACCAATCATAATGATTGAAAACTTAATTGAATCAATGCCAAGGTGAGTACAAGCATATGTTAAAAACAACCGGGGTCATATTCCATATTAATATATTTTGAGTAAAAGAAGTTGTTGGTGCGTTTTAACTTTATTGCACTTTTTTCTAAGTAATCTTTTCATTAATTGAGTTTGTTATTTAATTTCAGAAAAGATTTTGTTTTTTTTATTCAAAGTTGTGTTTTTTTCTTAATTGATAATCGGCTAAGAATTAAAAAAAAAAACCTGGACCCTGCTACATGTTTTCTCTTTGTACCACTTTAAACATACCTTAACTTTTTAAAAAACAAGTGCGTTTAAACTTTCTGTATAAAGTGTATATATTACAGCTTCATCCAGCTTTAGTGATTATGTTGTTTGTTTTTTATTCTTGTTGATGTGTGTGTTGACTTTTTTACTTGGTAAAAATGCTTTTTATTAGTAGAAATAAAAATAAAATTTAGGATACTTTTTTTTAGAACTAAAAAAACTCAAAATGACTAGTACAAGGAATAGAAAGCGAGTCACACAACCAATCATTCTTCATACAGATTCTGATCATATAAAAGAATTCAGCTTGCTGAATAACTTCAAAAAAAAACTTCTATTGTTCAAGTTGCGTTACATGTTTTATTTTGTTATTGTTGTTGTTATCCTAATTGAACTAAAATCTGAGAAACCCAATCTTTCTTCCCATGCTATTTTCTGGTATGATAGTAATTATCTTATGACATATAATAATCATACTTTTTTGTATCAAGATATTATTAATCTTCAATATCCTATCAGATTGCAACCTGTTTTACTTATTTTACATGGTCAACATAGTTATGATTGGAGGAAAGGAATTCCTTATTTTCAAAAAAAATTCTTCCGCATTATTATACCTGATTTGTCAGATAATATTAAACAAGCTGAAATGGTTGAGCAATTGATGATGTTTTTAAATATTCGTCATTTTCATCTATTAACTCATATGAATGGAGAAAGAATTTTAGAAGTTTTACTCAATACAAAGCTAGTTTCCAATGTCAAAAGTTTGTGTATAATTAATGGTGGCTTTTCACCACTTCCATATTTTGCATCACCATACTTTTTAAACAATTTTGGAAGGTTTTCAGTTGGATGGTACATTTTTAAGTATACTAACATTTACATGTTTAATTTATCTGCAGAAGATTTATATGAAAAGTTTCTTGATTTGCTACAAAGCAAATGGGTTCAGACAGAAACCAATGTAGATAAAAAACTCTGGGATACTTTTTTAACAAACATAAGTATTCCATTGCATCTAATTTATGGATCAAAAGATAGTTCAATAAAGACTTATTTATCTTCACACAATTTAACAAAATACCATTTGACTTTGCTAGAAAGTGTGGGACATTATCCACAGTTAGAAGATCCAGAATTATTTGTTCGTGAGTATTTGAAGTTAATAAAAAAAATAGTTTGATATAACCTTTCTAAGAAACTAGTGTTGGATGTCATTTCAAGTATTTATTAAGAAAATAATTTTGTAAATAATTTTGTAATATTTGAAACTGTCTAGAAGCTTCATATATTAGAAAATATATAATATTAATTGTATTTTGTTTGATTTGTTTGAGTTTTGTTTGAGCACAAAGCATCTTTTACATTTGTACATTGCATTTCAGTATAAATGTATATATATATATATATATATATATATATATATATATATATATATATATATATATATATATATATATATATATATATATATATATATATATATATATAGAAAGAGAGCTGTTATTAGGCTACTCCACACACCTCAATTGAGGGTGGGGGAGGCTAGCAAATTTAAATGGCCCATCAACAATTTTAGGGGCCCTTTTTCAAATATAAAGATCTTTTTTATCTAGTAGAAAATTTTTTGTAATTTTGAGTCCCTAATGACAGGTTTTGAGTAGGCCTCCAAGCTACTAGCCACAGCACTGTATATATATATATATATATATATATATATATATATATATATATATATATATATATATATATATATATATATATATATATATATATATATATATATATATATATATATATAATATATATATATATATATATATATATATATATATATAATATATATATATATATAATATATATATATATAATATATATATATATAATATATATATATATATATATATAATATATATATGTGTGTGTGTGTGTGTGTATATATATATATGTATATATGTGTGTGTATATATATATATATATATATATATATATATATATATATATATATATATATATATATATATATATATATATATATATATATATATATATATATATATATGTATATATATATATGTATATGTATATGTTTATATATATATATATGTGTGTGTGTATATATATATATATATATATATATATATATATATATGCATATACATATATACACACACACACACCTATATACACACACTATATACTGTTATTAACATTTTATATTTATAATTGTTTTTTTTTTATATTTTGTATAATAAATTTATTTTGTTGTTTGTTTATATATTATGATTTTTAACTATTTTATGTTTGTTTATTTATTTTTATTTTGGTAATGTTGTTATGTTGATGTTTTTATTATTGTGTGAGTTTTAAGATTATTTTTTCTAAACTGGAATATTGTTAATCTCATCTATATTCTTGAATAAACTTATTTTAAAAAATAAATGACATATTACAATATTGTTAATCTCATCTATATTCTTGAACAAACTTATTAAAAAAAAAAATGACATAAGACAAGAATATAGGTTAGAGTTTTTAATTTTAATTTATTAATGATTTAGTTAAAGTTGAAACATTAAAATTTAAATTTCATGATTAACTTGTTTACATCATTCTTAGTAATGTTTTGTCACTCCAGTTTATAGTACAATTTTTGTATCTTAAAACTATTTATATATATTTATTTTTATATATGGTCAAGGGTTTTCAACTTTTTTGAATTTAAATTTGTTTTTGGAATTAAGTTTTTACATGCTTGAGGTAAGTAACAAAAAGTTACCATTCTAATCAATTTTACTAATAGCTTTGAAAAAAAGTCATAGTCATTTGAGTCATTTTTAACAATATTTAATTGGCCATACGTTCACCCTTATTGATGGTAGACCACCAAAGCATTTTAATTATTATCAGTATTAATTAGATCAAATTAAAGTTATTTAAAATTACTTTAAACCATTTTATTTTCATTATAATTATACATTTTTAGACTATTTAAAAAAAATTTCATAGAATGTCAAGCAGCCAGCGAACTTTAGGATCTGCTAAGCAACTGCTAAGAAAAGAGTTAAAAGAAAAACTTAGACAAATGTCCCATCAAGATAAAGCGGAGCAATCAAAAATTATTACAACGAAACTTTTTTCAATGGATATTTATAAACAATCTAAATCTATATCTCTTTATTTAAACATGCCTACTGAAGTATTTACATCAGACATTCTTGCTGATATCTTTAAAAGTAACAAAGTATGTTATATTCCTCGATATATCGGTAAAGATATGGATATGGTTTATCTAAAAGACCAAGATGATTATGATAAACTTCCAGTAACGTCTTGGAACATCAAACAACCTAACGATGACGAAAAAAGGGAAAGTTCTCTTAATGGTAACGGACTAGATCTTGTGATAGTTCCAGGCTTAGGCTTTACAAAAAGTGGCTTTCGTTTAGGTCGAGGGAAAGGTTACTACGATCAGTATTTTCATAAGTATGAAAATGTTTTCCTTAAAAAACCAACAACTATCGGATTAGCGTACACCTGTCAAATAAAAGAAAGTTTACCTATTGACGATTTTGATGTACAATTAGATTACGTTTTATATCCATAAACAATGATTTTTTTAAACTTATATGATATTTTAAATTTGTAATAAAATTTATCTTTTCTTAAAATTTCAATTATTTCTTATTATTTATCACTTAAAATTTTATATTTCGATTGTTTCGTTCATTGTTTACATTTCGATGTTACAATAATTTATTTTATGTTAAGATTTTTTTTTTAGGTTAAACTTTAAAAATAAATTGAAACACCAAATAATCCTTCCTATAGTTTTTAATACATTAAAAACGAATAAAGAAGATGAATTTATGAAGAATCTAATATTTTGAAAATGTCTTTAACAGAAGATGAATTGACGAGGTAGCTTGTGATTAAAGAAATTGACTTTTGAAGCTGTTAATCCTTTAAACCAAAAATAATTAGTTTTTTTCAATATTTTATTACTGAAGAAGAATTTAAAGCATTTCTTTTTCTATTAAATTTGTTCTTGTTTTTTTTAGATTAGCCATTGCTGAATTAACGAGAAATGCACAGAGAGGTCGCGAGCGATCAGCTACCATGGGTTCGTTAGCCTGGTAATTTTTTATATCATATTTACACAGCATTTTATATTTTATATTTTCAGTTTAACTATCATTTGTATTTATAGGAAATCTTGCCCTGTTCCAGCTACAAATAAACGTTTTCTACACAATACAATTCTTGGTGCGATGCAAGCAAACAAAAATATCTCAACTCAGTCTCGAAAAAGAATCAATGAATCAAAAACAGATACAGCAGAGAAGCAAAAAAAAAAGGGTAAAAATGAAATCCACAAACTAGAGAAGAAAGATATTTCTATCAAACTAAAAAAGAACGATATTTCTATCAAACTAAAAAAGAACGATATTTCTATCAATAAAATTGAGATGGAATCTCCTATATCTTCAAGTAGCGTTAATTTGCCAATAAAAAAAAACTAAGCGTATACCAAAAGTATAACGTTAAACTCGATCAGCAATGTGTTTTTATATAGATATATACGTACATATTTACACCACTATTAAAATCAATAAGTTTCAAACGATATTTCAGCTCAAATAGTTTATCATTAGAATTTTTAAAAACCTTAACTCTTCGACTTGATTAAAAAAAATTTCAATAAGTTGTACATGACCATTCGGTAATTGCATACATTAAAAATTCAAGTCTCCAATTAGTGACAATAGTCCCAATAGTTATAAAAATTTATTCTTAAAGGATCGTGAATGTTTTAAAAATTTTATTTATAAAAGATCGTCAATGTTTTAAAGTGAACAAATAAACTTAAAAAGTGAACAAAATTTCGATGTAAGATGAAAAGTTTTTTTTTTAATAATTTTAAATTATATATTATTACAAATAATGCTTGAAATTTTTCTTAAAAAGTAAATACGCCAATATTTAAGAAAGGAGACATAAAACTCAAAAATTGGTATAAAAAAATCGAATTAATAACGACTTCTTCAAAGTTAACATTAGGTTTGTTCTCTGTAGCATGTGTCGTCATAACATGTTTAAATCTTCAAAGAATAGTTTATTTAAAACTAAACAAAATTCGTTTAGAACTAAAGACAAAGTATAATAAAAACAAAAAAACTGAAAAGATTTTAAAAAAAAAATAGTTTGAAAATGTTTTGAAAAAAGTTTCATTATTGGAATTTAAAAACTTTGCTGCTTTTACGCTGCCATAGTCTACCTTACGGACATGCAGCACGTTAGTTATTACTTTTATAATATCTACTTTTTTTTATTAATGTGCTTCCTATTTTTTCATGAAATAGTTTGATTTTCATTTTAAAATGAAAACTCTGAAAATATTTTTTAAAAAATAAGTGAAAAAAAACAAGTTTCAAGAATCTGTTTAAAAAAGCTAAAAAAAATTACTAATTAAATTTATTACGAAATAATCTCGAAAATATTAAAAACCTGCCATGTAAAATTAAGTATGGGAGTAATGTAGTATGGGGAAGTAAAGGTAAAGATCTTGAAATCTTGGTATGTTGCGTTAGTTAAGACGTTACAAGTTGAATGTCATGGTAATGCAAAAATATTTGGCAAACAATTAAACAATGTCAGCCTGCTAAGAAATCAGTTGAAAAGTAAAAACCGTTAGGCCACAGACGTCCCATGGACGGTGCAAGTTTGTAGAGACGTCCTAGCAACGTTCTCAAGACGTTTTGTGTCCTCTTGAGTTTCCCAAGTTTTGAAGCAAATTTTTGTCACAAACTCTTTAATGCGTTTTCAAAATCTGGCAATAGCTTTATTTCAAAACAGTCCTTGGTGGATAAAAATTACAAAACTATTATCAATAGGTTTTTAAACATATGATGCAATCATTATCTAAAATTAATAAATAATTGTATTTATTCAACATTTTATATATATATTTTATTCTAAACTTCCTCAATGTTTCAATGCAAGGCAAAGTTGTTAGTCCTTGACCTTGGCCTTACCTTAAGGCCAAAAAATGAGGGCTAAGCCTAGGTCTTAGCCTTAAAAACTTTGGCCTTGGTCTTGATTGTTTTGGCCTTGGCTTAAAAAAAATACATATTTTCTTCTTGATTTCGTTGAACTCTGCGCGTAACCTCGGTCTATTTTTAAAATTGTGTTGTTTTTTTTTCTCACAGTACTGGCTACTTACAGTTTTGTAAATAATTGGCCTTAACGTAAGGCAAAAATTGAAGTCTTTGGTCTTGAAAATGTTTGCGTAAGTCTTGACCTTGAAACTCTTAATCCTAACCTTGACCATAAAACTCGTAGCCTTGGCCTTGTCCTTGTCCTTGTAATTTTTGGCCTTGGTCTTGGCCTTATTCTTGGGCTTGGCCTTGCTACTTTTGGCCTTGTTAACAACTTTGATGCAAAATATATTGTGTGGAGACATTGCTACTTATTTAAAAATTTTTCAATGTTTCAAAGCAAGGTATAATATGATATCTCCAAGTTTATCCAAACAAGACAGTTTTATTATTATGGTATAATATATACCAATGATGGTATATATTATACCATAATATTACAATTTAACGATTGCTATACATTACGATTTTTATTGGTTTATCATAAGTATTTGACACTGTTAACCATGATATATCTTACTAGAACTGCTAAACATGGAATGCTAAACAATAACTTTCTATGATTTAAAATTTACCTGTTAAACAGAAAACAATTTATAATACATACAGCAAATGAAACAGAAAAACATATTATATCTTGTGGTATTCCCCAAAATTCAATCTTAGGGCCTCTATTATTCCTACTCTTATATAAATGATTCATATTTAGCATTCAAAATTTTTAATTTTTATTTGCTGATGATTCGAACTTTTTTTTAATCAAACAATAATACAAAAGATTATATAACAAAGAGTTATTAAAAATAAATGACTGGATTACAAATAATAAACTTTTATTAAATGTTGAAAAAACTAAATTTATCTTGTTTCGCAAATCTAGTAGGGGAGCCTTTCTGTAAAATTACCTAATCTCTTTATGAATAAAACAGTTATTAAAATAGAGTCAAATATTAATTTTCTAAATATATCATGGAAATATCATATTAAATCTATTGAAAACAAAATCTCCAAAAATATTTTAATGTTATATAAAGTTAAATCATTTCTTAATATCAAGTCTTTAAAAGTTAAATATTTTTCATTTATACATAGTTTTCTTTCCTATTGCAATGGGGAATTACCAATTATGGAAAGCTTAAAAAAATCTAGGATTATTTGGTGTCACCAGAACTATTAACGGTGAATCTCTTTTAATGGAACTTAATGCAATCAATGTTTATAAACTTAATATATACCAAGTAATGCTTCTAATGTTTAAGTCAAAACATAGTTTATCTTCTAATATATTTTATTTTTATTTCACTTAAATTACTCATAAATACTCCACAAAATTTTCAACTAATAAATTTTTTTTTCCAAGATCTTATTTAAAACTCAGTTCATTTCTAATTCAATAACGTGGACCATTTATATAAAAAGTTTTTTGAAAAGTATTATTAAAAATAAAACTTTTTTAAACTTCTGCCTAAAACAATTCAAAAGAGAATCCTAAACAATTTTTATTAGAAAAAAACTTTGATGTTAAAATTTGTTTTAAAATTAGTATCTAAAATAATTAAAGTGAAAAAAGTTATCATTTTTGTCTTGATTTGTTTCTTATTTTCTTCTTTTAAAAATAAAAAATAAATGACAAAAAATATATATATACATCTTATCATAAGATTAACTACTTGTAATATATTGTGTTTTACTATATAATTTTCAACTTGTAAATTTTTAACTTGTTACATAAACCGAAGGCGTCAATCTAAACGAAGTAAACGGTCGGTGATAAGACAATATACGTCTTCTTCTTGCTTAATTTATGATATATGTACAATCTTTCTTATTTCAAATTTTATTAAACGGCAAAGAAAATAAATAAATAACAAAATAGACCCATCATACCCCTCTCTGTTATATCTATATCTGGTTACTGTTTTAGTTAACAAGCAATTTTTAGTAAATTCTTCATATCATAAAACAAGTTGATTCTCAACCTTGGAAACGGTCAAACAAAGTTCATACTGTTTGGTACAGGAGAATCGCTTTCAAGAAAACCAAAAGCAATTAACCTTTTTTACAGTTTCAGTTTATTATGTTTTATCTTAAGCTATAAATACTTATCTTAAGTTCCGAAAATCCAACTTGATTTTACGTAAAGTTTTCTATTCGTGTTAGAGTGTATAATGATCTGCAGCTGTTACGTATTGATAAGAATTCTGGCTCAGAACCAAGAGGCCCGAGGTTCGACGCTGGTTGAGCCCAATAAACGACATTGGAGGCGAGAATTTCCGATTTAATGCTCTTCCGCAGTAATCTGTGATAAGACCGTAAGGACTTTTAGGAGCATCTTAAAGGCTATTTAATTCAATTCAATACTTTAAAATCTTATTTTTATGTGTAGAAGATTGTGAATTAGGATTATTACATAAAAACAAAAACTTTATTTTTAAGTCGTATAAAATGTAAAATTGACTAACTTTTAGGGGGAAACATACAAAAAAAGAAATCAATGAATATTCATTTATCATCAAGATTCTAATCCATACTTTAGACATAAATGCATTGAAAATTTGGAGGTCTTAGTATTTTTTTTTTTATTCGTGAGATATCATATTTTGAATAAATAAATTATGCTAAAATTTTCATTTTTTTTAATATTAAGCAAGTAAGTACGAAATGTTCTAAAAACTTTATTCTGATAATTTTTCTTGCTCTTTATCAATCCGACCTTTCATAATTATTTTTAACTCGTTTCTTTTTGTTTATTGTTGTTGCTTTTTTCATTTTTCATCATATTCTGCAATTGTTTTTTGTCTTTTTTTACTAAACCAGTTATCATATTAAAGTATAAATTTAAATGTATAAATACATGATAAACTCCGAATGTATAAATACATGATAAACTCCAAATGTATAAATACTTGATAAACTCCAAATGTATAAATACATGATAAACTCCAAATGTATAAATACATGATAAACTCCAAATGTATAAATACATGATAAACTCCAAATGATTCATTAAAAGAAAAATAAGTAGAGTTTACTTTCAAGAAATCTTTACGTAAACTTTTTTGGAATATTGAAACCAGATGATTTTAATTAGCTCTTCTTTATAGTATTGGGTTTGCCCATTGTTTTCATAGATTAGAACAAGTGCTTGTCTAGTATTTAGTTTTTCTTTTTACTCTTTTTTGGCATTAAGAGCTTCCTTTATTGATTCTTCTGCAGCAATTTGTAAGTGGTTTCATTTATATTGTCAAAAGCATTTTATAGTTAAACATAATATGTTCATAAATCTTGAAAATTCAATTCCTGGTTGGTGTCTTTTTTAATTCCAAGGAACCCGATTACCGTTTTCAAGATAGCATCAAACATGTTTCTAGTTTTTTATCATTTTGAACCTCGTTTGAA